ACTTGCTATCCGCTAATTACGCGGATAGTAAGCGACTTCACTACTCTTAACTTTACATTCGGTAGGGTAGAGTGTTTTACATTCCTATTATCTGCGACTTTACTGCTACTAAGACCTCTCAACTTTTATAATACGGTACTATACTTGTCTCTACTTTTATATACTAATCCCGTCTCTAACGTAGCATTCGTATCTCTCACATACTATTATTATCTCTTACTATCCGCGTATAGACTCTAGAAATAGAAGTTCCCGATTTGGCAAGTACTTAGTAAAGTCGGGTCCTAAATATTAGGCTTAGTATCATTTATACAGCGCCTTTATGCCGGCAGAGGATACGTAGAATATTAAGTCCGATTTACTTACTAGTTTAGCGGATAGTAAGCGACGGAATATCGATGTTTCCTCTCTTAATATGTCCGCGGGAATGCAGCTTAGCATTTACATACCTAGGTAATAATAAAATTCTTAGCCCTAACTTCTAACTCGAATCTTTGCTAGATACTAGGCTTCTAGTAATAATTGCGGTCCTTAATCTCTACTAGAAATCTCAAATTCCTAGATCTTCGGGATCTAGATTTTTGAGCACTAAGATTTATAAAAAACAATAAGGACTCGCATAGATCAAGGACCGCAATTATTACTAGAAGTCCCAACTTCTAAGATCCGGACATAGAGATATCAACTTGCCGGCGGCGTTATAACAAATTCTATTGTTGTTCTACGCTAGATCTAGTACTTTTTACCGCACTTTCTATAGCATATTCTATAGCATATTCTACGGTATATTCTATACGACGTTCAGACCGATAAAAGAGGTGCTTTATACAAGACTAACGCGCTCTTTAAAACGATAAGAAGCGCGTTATTAACGAAAGTAGATAGGAAGCATTCGAGCCGCGAGCCGCGAGCCGCGAGATATAAGATATAAGATATTAGCGTAAATAGAAAGAGCTAGACTTTACAGAAAGGAAGCATTCAAGGCAGCAAATATAGAACATTAGTATAAAGGTTAAGAGGAAGATCTTACGAGAAGTAGAAGGCAGGTAGACAGTCTAATTTATAATATCTAGTTAACGCACTTAGAGGCGGCGACCTTTTACAAGCGGCAGCGAGTACACTTGACATTGCGTATGCTGCTATTAAACTGCTTGCCTTCCTAAGAATATATACGACAAGTATAGCCTAAGCGCTTATAGCGCTTGTAGGGAGGCATACGATTCTCGCTAGTATTAGTCTCCTCGATCCGTCTAATATGCGATAACAACTTGTTCTAAGTAGTCGAGTTCGACTCCTATTGCTTTACGCTCTAGCTATAGTATATATTTAAAGCCGCAGGGCGGAAGAGCTTAATACGATTACCCTTCGGACCTTTCTTCTTCGGAGTTAGAGCCGGAGTCGTAGCTAGTTACGGCGGCTGCATTTCTGCTAGCGGTAGTAGTACCCTAGATGCCGAAGATAGTTAAGGTGCTAGAGTTAGTGCCGGAGCTGCACTAGGAAGACCTTGTTACGTACGCTTACGCTAGCGTTGTGCCTATCCTAACGGACCTAAGCGGCGCTTAGCCTACACTTAAGGATATAGCGCTGCGGCCGCTACTTCGATAACGCTAATATATATTAGATACTGCTTAATGCTTGCGATCGAAACATATACTTATCTAGTACATTAACGTCCTAGACCGAAAGAGACTCTTGTTATTGTTGCTGCTACACTACCGGCGTGTCTTCGTATCTAATCGTTAGTCGACGCAAGCTTCTAAGACGACGAGTAGGACGAACAGGGCGACTAGAGCGACTAGAGCGAGGCTCTCTTAGAGAGCCGAACATCTCGTTAATCTCCTCGTCGGTCGCTATAAAGTTGTTAGATGCTATCGTATCGAGAGCGTTAGTAGTTAAAAGCAAGGATAGTGTCGAGAGCGGCGGCAGTCGTAAAGGCAAGGATAGTATTAAGTCGTAAAGGCAAGGATAGTATCGCTATCGCTATCGCTATCGTTCGCTAAGAGAAGAAGGATGCTAAAGCAGAAGGGACAAGCCTAATATAATAGCTGCTGTTATTGTAGAAGCTAACAATACGTATAAAGTGCTTATATAAACAATAGGAACGTACTAACAATACTTATGCTACGTAGGTAGGTTACGAGCTAAGAATTGGCTTCGTATATAATGCTAAGATTGCGGTTAGTTTATACAGGTATCCCGCCTTACCGATAGTAAAGAGCTAGGTAAGAAAGACTTGTCGCTTACCCTCCGCTTAGCTAGCGGATAGCAAGCGATATGTTTTCGCTCGAATACTCACTTCAATCGCAGCCTCGAGTAGTTAGATACTACTACTACGAAAGCTCACTTTTACGAAGCTTCCTACTCCTAATAATAGTAATACCGATAATAGACTTTTACGTAGCCTCCTTCTATAATAGAAGTTCACACTACCGCTAGCGATATAATATCTCTTCCTGCTTACTACTAACTCTTCCTTCTCGTCTAATATCGTATATACCCTCTTACCCTGTCTATAGCATTACCTTAAACATAAGAACTACGTTAGCAGCAGCAGCAGTAGCATTAGAATGCGTTCCTATATGTTATACGAGCTGTTCTATAGTTAAGCAAGCAGAACTAACAAGTATAATAGCCGTCTCGACTCTACGCGGTACGCGCGTTGCGAACTTTCCTTAGAGCGAAGATAGTATTATTAATACTGCTACGAGTATACTATCTCGTAGCCTCCGTAGTAGCAATGTATATATTTAAGATCTATACTCTACTTACTTATCTTACTCTGTTAATCGATTAAAGCCGCCGCGACAACATTATTACTACTACTATTATTACTAAGCGCCGCTCGCTATACGAGCTCCTTACCGAGTGTCTGCCCTAGGTTTTGTTAGGCTTACTAGTCTTGTTTCTAGTTCGGTTTGGCTCGGTGTCTACTAGCCTTAGATAGCCTTATTTCTAGATACATTCGATATAGTTTACGTAGATCTAGAATGGATCTTGCTATAGACCGAGACTGCTGTCGAATATCCTGCCTTATTAACTCTTTAAAGATCTTGCGAATATGCTAGTCTCTAATAGTAAGTTCTGCTAGATATTGTTAGCAACCTTCTACCGCTCTATCGCTTACTATCCGCGTTTAATGCGGATAGCAAGTAACAATCTAGTCAAAGTTAGTATATACTATCGTAGCAAACTCCGGACTTTAAGAGCCTAATAGTACCTCTGCCTACACTAGCGCCTATACCGATTTAAGGGCTAAAGGACTAAGAGCTTACGCTCTACTACCGTGTCTGCTACTATCCGCGTCGCTAGCGGATAGCAAGCGACAGTCTAGTCGATTAAGAACCTCCGGTCCTTAAGTTAGAAACTGCTCTAAGCGTTGCATTAAATTAGTAAAGCGTATCGGACTATACGGATAGTAAAAGACAAGCGTCTATATTAAAGTCTTTATTAGTAACGTTATCTAAGAAGGCAATACGAGAAACGCTCGATATATTACTTAACCTCTTCTATACGAGCTCGACCTAGAGCCGGACCCGGCTAAGGATTGTTATTCTCCTTATCCTTATCCTTAACCTTATCCTAATCCTTATACCCGTCTTCTTCTATTTTGTCTTTAGTATCGCGTTGCAGCTGCTAGTAATGCTTTAATACCTTCTATATGTCTTTACTAAGAGGGTACCGGCTTCGAGTACTACTAAGACGAGAGGAGTATTTCTTAGCAGATTTCTTTAACTAAGTATCTCTAAGAGCATTGCGCTAAGCTTACTACTTAAAGGGACCTAACTCTAACTCTACTTGCTCGAGTAATATCTCTTCGAGCTAGCGCTCTTTATCGCCTTTCTCGCTACCTTCTACTTTACGAATGCGCTTTATTAGCTTGCAGACAAGTCGTTACAAGTATACGACGCTCTTACGAAGCTAATTGTACTCGGTACGGATGTTATACAACTCGGACTAGATAATAATATAGTACTTTAGGCTAGCACTTGTCTATAGACGCTATAGATTCTTAGTCTCTTCGGTTACTTCTTCGTTATTGTCCGTAGGATTTATATCGTTCGGATAGTTATTATCGAGACGGAGTTTCGCGCGTAGGTATTCGGTATATAGAACGACTAGACCGACCTAAACTACGATTAGCATAGTCTTCTATTAGCGCTATATAGATGCTTATACTATCCTCGGCGGAGACAAAAACCTATACTCGCTTACGTAGTACTAGTTTTAGCCGTAGTAGTTAATTACTTATCTTCTTTGCTTTGTCTCTAAGACAGCTCGATACGATATTAACGTGTTTAGTGCTTAGAGCGTCTTAAACGGAGGTGTTAAACACTAATCTTATATCCTTATATACTATTTTATATAGTTTTGTAAGCTTATATAGCAATTCTTAGCCTTACATAGTATATAAGGTTTCGTATATCGAACCCTATACCTAGGCGATCGATCTAGAATTCGTAGGCCTAGATCTACTTAATCCGTAGAGAACCCGTAATCCCGATTAAGACTCTAAGGACACGTTTTGCTAGCGACTACTACTTACGGGAGCTAAGTAGTAGGACAGCGTAGCGCGATATGTAGTCGTCGCAAGATTTAAGGCTAGTAAGTCCCTAGACGATAACCGTAGAGGCATCGGTCGTAGACCGTATATACGTCCGACCTTAAGGGAGAAGCGATAGGTCTACGTAGTATAGCTATTAACTAGCGGACTGTATATAGCAGAACTTAAAACTTTATAGCGAGGTATCGAGGATTCTAAGAACGAGCCTCCGGAAGATCTAGGCCTTACTAAGTTTAGACTAGCGAGGACGATAGATAAAAGGTTACGCATTCTAAGTAGTAACTATAGAGCGAGATTTTATAAGAAATTAGAGGATTATAAAGGGTATACGTTTCTACGAGCTTAGTAGTAGAAGTATACTAGCGAGTCGGGGCCTACGCTCCTTACTCTAGATAAGACGTATAAACAGTAGGAGTAAGAATATAATGCCACTTTGCATATGAAAAGCCGTCTAGGCTTAGAGCTTTGCGGTACCGTTAGAGTACGCACGGAATTTGGAAGTTGACTGTGTCGCATCTTACCTAAAAGCCGTTGGCATCACTGGGAGCTTCAGGAAGCTCAAATCGGTCGGTAAGTATTTTCCATCACAATCACAAAACATATTGTATGCAAAGCTTTAGCGACTGCGCACGGTCAACTCGAGCAGGATGAGACGGAAATGATATCGCAGCTATCCAACAGAACCTATGGCTCGTGGAATGCCGGTTAGAGACCCAACCCAAAGTGATGGTTGCAAATTTGACTTTACGACAGCGGAAGCAGGTGATCAGTCCGATACCTCTACAGGAGATGGCAGCGATGAGGAAGCTGTGTAGATTCACTACTCCAGGCTGTCCTGACTTTGATCCACCCAATGCAGCAGCAGTAGCAACCGCCACAGACATCGGTAATGAAGGTAGCTAATAAGCAGTCTTGAGAAATTGGGAATGGAAGTGGACGGGTCAGGAGAGAAGAGGAAAGAGAACCTTTAAGGGTTAGGGAAGAGGCGGAGAATGAAGGTGGTCATTTGATGCATTTGTCAATCAAACAATCAGGAGATACATCTCGCAGTGAGCAGAGAGCATGATAGGTTGAGATTTGAGGGTCATGGTGAAGTTCAAGCATGTATTCATTTCATTGCAAAATAGCATAGCAGCAGCGCACCGCATCGCATCTGGTATTATACTGCCCAAAAAAATTCATACTCGCTTTGCAAAAATCCCGTCTTTTCGCTCCTCGCATCAGGCCGTAAAGATCATTGACAGTCATTCGTTCTCTTTCCCAAGTAAAGACAATGGAGAACCCCCCCCCCCCCCCCCACCTCCAACCCGGTATCCTTCACCCAATAAACTCCTGAATCGAAGCCAAGGAAGTACTGAACGCATGAAGCTCCAACTGAAGCGCTGTCGTCGTCAAAAGAAATTTCGTCACGCCGTCATTCATCGTCGTCATGGCTTCTCGCCTCGGCATTACCAGCGATTGCTGGTACTACGTCCCAGTCCTGGTCGTGCTGGTGGTCCCATGGTAGACTTTCTTACTGGACTACCAGTGCTACGGTCTGGTGCCTGCATGTTTTGTGCAGATTGACCAATCTTGCCAAAGTCTTGAAAGATGTCGATCGCTTCTTCGCTAGCATCGCTGTGAAGCTCGACACCGAATAGTTCTGAAACGTCTTTATTGCTCATTGTAGCTCCTGGCTGAATATTCTCTTCGCCAAAGCCGACATTCATCCAACTCATATCGGATGTGGTGTTGTTGGGAGGTGATGGCTTATGTGACTGCTTCAAAGGCGAGCCAAGCTTAGCTGGCGATCGCAATGAGCTAGTCTTTGCGATGAATGGTGATAGTGAGAATGGACTACCACTCGTCGGCGGCGCCAACATGAGGTTGTTGCTCTTAGCAGTTCCAGTGATATCTGCGAGAACACCGGTGCTGGTGGCGGCACGGACGAGAGATGGTCGTCTTGCGGACCGCTTCTCTGGCGATCCGCGTGCAGCGGTGTCGTGGTCGGGAAGATCCATGAAGACATCGAATGCTGCATTGTTGAAGTTGTAAGACGGGTCGGGCGTGTCAGCAAGTGGCCGCCATGGTGTCTCATTATGCTTGTAAGGTGAGATGAAAGGCGTGAGGCCCACTGGACCTTCTTCACTGAGCGTGAAAGCAGGACTCCAAGTGTGGCTTTCTTGCGGCATTGGACTGAAGTTCTTTGCAGGCGACAGCAATGCTCTCACTCTGTTGCGGTGATCACGCAAGTTTGTGTTTGGTGATACCGATGGTGGTGGTCGAGCTGGTCGCTTGAAGAGAACAGCCGGGGTGAGTGGGTTGTCGTCCTTGTGAGATGGCGAAGAGCCGAAGCTACCAGGAGGTGGCTGGTAGCGATGTTGGTCCTTGCTTGGGCTGTCAAAGGATGAGCTGCGGATACGTGCAATCTCTGCTTCTGCACGTCCCTTCTTGATCCGATGGCTCCGGACCTCGTTCTCGCTGGCCAGCTGGTGAGATGCACCGCGGGCAGCAGATGACTCGATTGATGACCAGTATCCGCTATCGTTCATGCCTGCGAATTTGCGTCGACGGCCGCCAGATCTGCTTGATAGTGGAATGCGGGGCTCAGGCTCAGGCGTGCCGTTCAAATTTGCATGCATAGTTGGAGGTGATGAGCCAATATCTGCTGGTGGAGGCGAAGATCGCATCAGAAGAGGCGGCGGCGGCATAGCGGCGGCATCGTCATGCTTCTCGTCTTCTTGAAGCGCTGGGTCAGATGCTGGGATCGTGGCGTCAGACGACAGCTCGGTCTCGTCTGGAAACTTGGCAGAATCGATGTCCTTGGTCTCAAGCTTTCTCGATGAATGTGGACCAACGGTGAAGTTGCTAATGGCAGGAGTACTGGCTGAACGGAAGCCTGCTGGATCCGAAGAGGGAGGCATGGGTAGGCCGTGAGTGTAGGATGAGCCATCTGGGTTGATGATCTTCCTCACTGGCTGCTTCTTGCCCATCAGGAAAGGGCGCTCCTCGCCAGGCTTGATGGCCCAGTAGTTGCCCTTGCCTGGGTCATCCTTTGGTCGCTCCTGCTTGATGAAGTTCTTATTAAGGCTGAGGTTGTGTCGAATGCTGTTCTGCCATCCACCTTCAGATCCTCTGTAGAAGCGGAAGTTATCTGAGATCCACTTATAGATCTGGGCGAGGGTCAGACGACGGTTCGGAGCTCTGAGAATGGCCATGCCGATGAGTTCCGCATAGCTGTGAGCTGGCTTTTTGCCGTCATCGGTGAGCACGGGCATGTCTTGCGGGCGTGGCAGCTCAAAGCTGTCTTCACCGGCAGCCTTGAACTTCTTGATGCTCGGATACTGAGGTCGGGAGTCGATAGACGTGCGTTTGAGGGGTGCTTTGTAGCCATAGTCGGGCTCAGGATATGGCAGCTCTCCGAAAGAGGCTCCCTCAAACACATTCTCTTTATCGTATGTCGGTGGGTGCGAGGGGTAGAGTGGGCGCTCCACTTTGGGAGCAACTTGATGATACATGGAGTAGAAGCTGCCGTTCTTCCGCGGTGAGTCGGTTGGGAATTTGGATGGCGAAGGAGGAGACAGTCTGAAGTCGGTGAGCTGATGAGCGCTCATGGGCCGCAGTGGAGAGCTGTCCCTTTTTGAGGGCGATGAGCCCGGCTTGGATGTGGTAGACGGATTCAGCTGAACGTTCTGCTTATTTGTAGCGTCGTCTAGCGGACCGAGGGCATTCAGCAGGGCAGTCTCGACATCTTGTTCGGTCGACTGCTCGGACCAGACCTCGACGGAGGCGGATCGACGCGTCGCTGCCATCGATGTGCGGCGACAGCGACGAAACAGGTAGATATCTGTCAACAGAGGGTGTTTTGACGCGTGGGGCGCGTGATGTCGTCGTTGCGGGTTCCCTGGTCGGCGAATGCTGGCAGGTTGGAGGTAGTTTGGGCGCAGCGGGTACTTAGTTCTCGACGCGTCCCGGGCTCCAGGCTTTCAAGACGGGTGGAGGTGATTTGCGGCGGTGCTGGGCGAATAGATGCGCGAAAATTCTGCTGTCGACTCATCAGAAAGCGTGCTCGGGAGAAAGTGGGATGTAAGAGCTGGAGTGCAGTGGAAATCACCAGGGTGGTGGTGGTGCTTTCGTTGCAAATCCGGGCTGGTGCAGGCCGTGCGCTCGCGCGTTGGGCTCGGCATTATTATTGGCCTAGGATAGCGGATGCCGGAGCGCGCCTTCATCAATCTTCACTCACCTATTCTGGTTGGAGGTGTGATTGACGCGTTTTGGAGGTGGCGTTGATGGAGTACGTGATCAGTGAAGTGCTCGCAATGGCAGTCGCAGCAATGGGCGAAGGGCGAAGGGCGAAGGGAGGAGGACGAGGTGTAACGCGAGTGGAAGCTACAGTAGTTCTAGGTTGGTGAGAGCAAGCGGGGCACGAACGACAGACACCAATTTGGCAATTCTGGCTGACTGCGAAACGCCGTGTGCCGCAAGGGCTCGGAAAAAGATGCTACCGTGACGTGGTACCTGACTTCGCTGCGCGGCGCGACGCGACCATCGCCGATGCCAGAAGTGACCATTCTGGCCTGGGGCTTGTTGCATGAAAGCGCGTCTGACAATACGCTTCAATAAGACGTTGGATTCAAGTGTCACAGTCACGATTCAGCTCGTGTAATAATCAATGGAAGCTGCATCACATAATCATCATCCTCTGAAACATTGAGCTGCTCTCCGATGGCTTGCGTCACTGATCAAACGCGAGGAAGCCGCGGTGCACGTGAATTCTGCCAAGCATTTCATCTCATCTCCCATCTCTGCTCTTATCCAGACCTACTACGTCGAACAATAGAGCGTGCCCGAATCACTTTTCTTACAGGTCCCGGTGAAGATTCCGGCCTTTTATATCTAGGTTAGTCTTATACGTCGCATCTTTGGGGATAAGAAAGTGGGGAGACTAACACAATTTGAGAAACAGCTATCGCCGACTTTTTTACAAACTCCGAACGAACAATCCTTTTCTGTTTCTGCAAGAGCGAAGCTTGTAGAGCAGAAGAGGAGGAAGAGGATGCGAGATGGGTTGAGGTTGAGGTCCATCGTAATAGTTGTAGGGCTTGCGGTATGTTTCAGGCAGCTTTTAGGGTTGTGTACAGTAGGGGACAGGTAGCGGAGGCGAATGGGAAAGGGCGTTTTATGGCTGGCTGCTGTTCATCCTGCCGACAGCTGGCAATAATGTCTGAGTTTGTCTTCGGCGCGAGGCCGACATATCGGCAGTTGAAGGAAACAAGGGGACATCGGTGACAGTAATAAAAGCCGAACGCTTAGAACCCATTCACCTAACTCTCTTGGCTACAACAACCATTGTTATACAGCCACAGTATAAACACTGATACATACACCTACTAAATCAAAGATTCGAGGAGTTTACGAGTAGCATCATTTCTGTGTCCAAAACAACCTATCCAAGACCCCCTGAGCTCGTAAACTGCGTAGATGCTTCGAAAGGAAGGATTGTGCTGAGTGTCGGCTTCTACTGTCACCGAAGAGCCATCCTAGTAATAAGTTCTAGAGCAACTGTTGCGTACGATCCACGCACCGGCCGGCGTCGATGACGGTGTGTTTGAAGTCTGCCGGTATGTCGATGAGCCATTCGCCGAGGAGCCAGTCCGACTTCTCGTCGAATTAGGCAGACTCGTTGTCGGTCGCGGGGATGGCGATGATGCCGCTGATTTAGAGCCACTTGGAATAGATGAGAAAGGCTTCGGGGGTATGTTCTTGCTGAGAGAGACGGCGGACTCGGAGTCGCTCTGGTTCTATTCTGCCTTTGCTTTCGTCTGGAGGAATTCGGACGGCGCGGTGAATATGGAACTGGTTAGCTGGTTCGCCGACTCGAACCGCGACGACCGAGCCGGAAGTGCTGATCTCGCTGGGCGATATAGTATGACTGTTATGGGGACATCTTGAGTCGCTAGAAGACGGGGATCAGACACAAACTGCAAAAGCGCCATTTAGGGAATAATCAAGTCTTTGGAAGCGTCACCAAAAGTGCTCAACGGGGCAAATAGACCGGATGTCGCTGCGCTTGTTGCCTTTGGTAGCACTCATGTTGGAGCTGATGAAGTCGCGTGGTTGATCGGTCGAGAGTCGGATGTGAAGCTCGATCGGGAAGCTGCAGGGCTGCACATCACGTGCTGAATGCCTGAGGCTGGAACTGCTGTGCGTTTCCTCTTCGGACTTCGTGGATTAGTCTCTGAACACAACATCATTTTCATATAAGTTATCCTTGGCGACTGTAGCAGCGCACACTATGCCCATGATTCCGGCGGGCAAGCAGGCCACTACATACCACATCGTGGTCGCCGATTCGAAGCTGTTCTCGTCTCCTGTCGCGTTGCGCACTCACGGGTACTGGGCATCTAAGATCGCTTCCACCACTGGCTCTTGGAAGACTTTCGGACCCTCGTGGCTGGAAACTCCGACCAGGCTCTTTTGCAAGGCGCTAATAGAAAAACGGGTCTTGCGGAAAAAGCGATGGTGGGAGAAGGAAGTAGTGCAAACAATCTGCATTTTCAAATTACGAATTTTCTAGTCCACTGGCTCTGCTAACGAAGGAGTGAGATATATTGGCTGAAAAGGAGTGTCGAATACCACTTAAGGATACTCTGTGGGAATCGGGACTTCTGGCATGGACCCAGCAATGTGGGCCCAGCTTCGGATCTGAATGCCCATTGCCTTGAAGAGGAAGGTGTTCATCATATATCGAAGCATTCTTGACGGATCTGGCAGATGCGGTGGTGTATGTCGGGCGCCACGGGGTAGAGGTAGAGGCTGTCGAGCCGGGGAGGGTTATGACGATGGAGTTTGGAACAAATGCCATCGAAGTCCTTCTCTTCCGGAACTGGCAAGTCGTCAACATCGTGCTCTGTACGAGCGACTGTATTCGCGAAGACCTGAAGATCATGTTAGGAACCTGGACTTTCGATGGCTTGGATGAGTGAAGACTTACCGCACCGTTGGACCGCCCCTAGTGGCCACCTTTACCAGCGGCTTCGATGTCTGCAGCGAGCTCATCCTGCTTGACTGGCTCATTCCATCCTTCGGCCCGACGACCTTGGATGACTTGGTCATGTCGTTCAGCCAACCACCTGGCAACTGGAGTTGGCACAGCATTGTTCCCCATAGCTATATTATGAGAAGCAAGGTTGGCCGACGTGAGTGCATCTCCAGCCGAGTTACTTGGTCGACTACTGGCGAGAGTGATGTTGGAGGGAGCAGAGCTACCATGGGTGGCTTTGGTGCTGATAATGTTTCAGCAATACCGTTTGGACGAGAGAGATATGGTCAACACTTACGATGACATGTCGGGATACTGCTGCTAGGCAGAAAGAACTCTTACGATTGACTGTTGACTCTAGGGATGTTGCGAGGAAATGTGATGCTCGACGAAACTCTCAACGCTCGGTAAACGACAACAGACGGAGCTGCGACGTGGCCGTCATCTTATACCCATTGCGAGCGGACCATTAACCACAAAATGAAGAACATTTTGCACATCAGAGCATTTTGCACATCAGAGAATTTTGCACATCAGAGCATTTTGCACATCAAAGGCGTGTACAACCTGTGATCCAGCCCAGGATCCATGCTATGCCTTGGAAGCGATTCGGAAGCAGCATGCGTAGATCGACCGCATACGCAACGCTCGCCTTGAGCCGATCCAGTCAGAAGCTACGAGCTTGAAGAGAAGCCAATGAGCCAGTGCAAAAGAGCACATCAGATTCCCTCTCCTGCATGGGCTGGTGGGCGAAATGAAGAAGATGGAGCAGATGAAGCCACATGCGAACCATATTGTCCAGCTCAATCTGGACTAGAGGTTGTGTTCCGTGCGAGAAACGTGTTGCCAAGCCCGTTTCACCTGTGCTGTGGGGAGCATGGCTTACGAAAATACACATTTATGTGCAGTTTCTCGGTCGCAAGACCAATAACAAGTGGAACATCCTGGCATCCCCGCCCTGCAGGATGCTTGCGTTAGCGCAAGGCAATCGAGGCACACGTCACACGGGTCGCATGTCGCTGCTACTCTAGCAGGCCTGATTATGATTTAATCCAGCCTTTCCGCACTTTGGAATGCAATTTTGACTCTCTGCTTCGCTCTGAATTGTTTATCGGTCTGACAATGACGAAGGACTGGCTTAGCATAAAGAACGAGGCGTGTCAGCTGTAAGTCGATTCCGGACTAGCCAATCACAGACATCACCTGGCCGTGGATGCATTGGGATGAAACTTCTCTACGAACGGATCTTGCTGACATGATGTTCTGATTTGCTAGGCATGCCAATAGATACACGCTCGACGAGATCAAGGCTGAGCTGTATGGACTGCATAAGTTCGAAGCATCGTAAGTGCAGTGAGGGTCTCGTTGAGCCGTACGAGTGAACTTGGTTCACTCACCGACCTGTGTATCGCATCGACTCCGCCATATGGCTCCATCGATGGCAATATCTTCACGCACAGCAAGCCGATGGCGACATGCTCAAGCGGAGCGGTTGAGAGATCTTCAATCTAGTCCATAGCCCATCGGGAGATCACGATGGACTCGCTGACCCTTGTCATAGCACACGAGCTTGGCGTCTGAAGTTCAAGGAATGGGGCATCAAACACCGTACAGCAAATACCACCAGAATCCAGAAGACAGCAACAAGGAATAGGCGCAAGGTGCAAGTTCCAGACAAACATGCCACAGACGAACCATCAGCCCGGATCGGTCTTAACTCGCCAGTCTTGAGATATTTTAAGGATGAGCAAGTGAATGCAGACACGGAGTACCTCGACGATCTGAATAAAGCGGAGCGATGGAACTTACTGGCTCAAGAGTTCGTCGCTCATGATTATGGAGATGATGTGACGTCGTTATATTACGAGCATCTCGCCGAACTTCTCGACTACTACATGTATTCCAAGGATATCGCCGATCAAATTCGCCAAAATTTGGACCAACTACGCAAAAAGCCTTTCTGGGACATCATGCGGAACAGAGCAAAGGTATTGCCAGCTCTTTATAACTTCCTATATCACGCAACCGGTTACTTTCTCAACTACGATGTTAGTGCTGTCCTTTTCAAACCTTGCGTAGAGCGAAACGAATTTTGCGCACACTCCACCGAGTGCCTAAGCGTGGCGTCTGCGATCTTGTTGCATGCGAAAGACCAAGAGGTGCCCGGGTACTGGGAGGTCCTAGGCTCGCAATATGAATCGGCGGAATTGATCCTGCGCTCTTGGATGTCTGGAGATTTGAGAGCTCCCGACAAATTTTTGGGACACTGGTGTAATAATTGTGATGATGGGGATATATTCTGCGATGGTCGTCTTGTCTCGATGGTACTCGAAGTCATCCCAGACGAATACCCTGAAATCAAGGTCAAGGCGATGCAAGTTGTGGGTAAGAGTTTGCACAGACTAGGTCTGGATCTCGAGTATCTCTACCACAACGCGCTCTTTAGCACTTGGACTCCGCTCAATTGGCGTCCGGCTGAAGTTCTGCTTCAATATTCAGGTACCAAGCCTAAGTTATGCTTGGAGTGGCTTTCCGACAAGTTCAATCAGTACAGGAATCCTGACGAACATATTGACCTCACAAAGCCTTCTTTGGATATAGCAGACACTCTGCAATCCATATTAGAAGATTGCCTGAGGGTAAACCACTTTTCGATGAGTTTCAGAAACTATCACGTCCTCTGGTACTTCATTCACGTTATCACCAAGGCTTGGGTGGACCTGGTTCTTCAAGACAACACTGGAAGTCTGGAGCTCAACGCTAGCGACATTTTGAAGATCCGAGAGGACTTCGGTGGACTACCAGGATTGAGGCTGTCCATTGACGCAATAGCACTGACCCGGATGTCAAATTCTGCGGATCTGCAGAGTCTTCATCCAAAACTACTTGACTATGAGAGCGAGCCTAGTTCAGATACTTCGCAGAATGGCACGAATAGCGGAGAAGAGCAAGTGGTTGAAGTCCATGTTATCTCATCAGATGAGAATGAGTCATCAGACGAGGATGAGGAAATGCCTGATGCTTCAGCTCCGTAAGCAGCAAGACACCATATGTACGGCATTACAAACGACACAAGATGGATCAGCGTGGTTCAGGAAGCGGCTGAAGACGAAAGGGGAGAGCATGAATGAAGTGAAGACAGATATCACTCAATCACTCCCCCTAAACACAGCTAGGGTGGCCATGATACTATCTATCGACGCTACAAAAGCGATTGAAATCGGGAAAGGCCAAAGATGAGATCGGAGGAGAGCGCACGGAATATCACCCAGATGTAGCTCGCTCCGTCTGAGCCGAGATGGAGTGCGCACGACATCATGTCGATTTCAGAAAATTTCTTAACACACTCCGAAGAGCTGTTGGGGCAAGATTCAGACTGCATAGATGAATTTCAATACCTTACGGAGAGGTTTCACTCGCATTATGCGAGTGGTTGATTCTTGAATTGCATATTCAAGTGAATATTCATATTTAGAATATTCATGATTGATTCTAGCATTCTTGAATATTTATGAATATGAATATTCAGGCGGTTATACTACGGCGCACTTATATCCTATGTAAGTATGCAAATTCCAGCTCTTTCTTTATATAATACAATATCTTCAATAGGACGGAAACGCGTAGAAGTAATCGAGGTAGGTAAACAGCTAACTATAGCATTCCAGTATATACTAATAGTTTAGATGTCGGACTCGGAGCCTAACTCGGAGCAAGAGTTATAGACAATCGACCAGTCTACGTAGGCGTTCTTAGCATTGTAGAGCTATTATCTCAACCTCCTGCTTAAGGATATAGTAGCTACTTATCTAACTCTTAGCGAGACCGACTATTGTATTACCCCTGCTTAGCTCTATTTCTAATAAGCCGGCATCCTATCATTTATTAACGAAGTAGCGTAGAATAACTTTAAGCAGTATATCGGAGATGCGGAAAAGGAGGGTCTATAGCTACTATTCCGTAGGGTTACGAGGAAGACGACAAAGAGCCTCGTATATACGCCGGAGTACTACTGAAATTGAATAACTATTATCCAATCTACTATTCAATCCACTACTAGAATCCAACTGACTATTTAAACTAGTGAAATATTTATTCTTTTTGCCCTTTTATATGCTGATTCTGATTATTCACTTGAATATTCTGAATTGAATATTCACTGATTTGATTTAAGGGTGTAGAATCGATTATTCAGGAATCAACCACTATGCTCGCATATCTCTTTAGATCTGGATGAATGACACAGGATATCGGATGTTGTTCCAGCCGGCATGGCTGTTGGAGGCGATACAACGACGATCGCGCGAGAGTGGTTTGACGAGGACATTTCATACCGTGACTACGGGCAAGCAATACAAACCCACGGACAGCGCCCGACGAGCAATCCAAACATCACGAAATGGACCCGACGAAATGCGGCGCCGTTGAGTTCTTGTGGGTACCTGCTACAGGCAGAATCTTGCCGCCAACTAACTCATAATTTGAGGACTACACGATTTGGCTGTTGATACGCGGAATGTAAATGTGGGTCTGGTCTGCGGGTACTTACCTCAGACGAACTACCATATCCTCAACGTCACAAACTTGGTGAAAGTAATACGCTAACTTGCGCGGCGACATCCTTTGCTCACTGAGACGTGCACACCACGAATGGGGACAGTGATAGATGTGAAGTTGGATCTTATGCGCGAACTAATGGTGCGGTGGAGGAGGATCATGTTTACACGGGTGACGTGTATGGGGAAAGATGAAGTTTTCAAGGTAGGGTTTTCTTCAGTTCGAGCTAATGCAGACCCAGTAAGTACTATGCTCGACGAGAGTCCGAATTGCTTTGATGAGAGAGTACCTGCGACATCTCATCCGTCTGTGACAAACTTCGAGAAATGCCAAGAAGCCCCCGATGAGCTTCAGCATTCATCTTCATGGTCCGTCCATCCCTAAAAGCGTCCAAGTGATCTTCTCAAGCTCCATTGCTCCCCAACCATTACTATTGTGCCATGACTGACAGTTGTCAACAGCGTCAAACCACTCGCCTGTCGAACGGCTACTCCCACCCATGGCGTAATACTCCGTCCTGGGAGCATCCCCCCAATCTTCCAGGCGGTTGAAGCACTCAAACCATCTCAAAAGCTTCACATAAAAATCCGGAGCCATCTTTCCCTTCTTAACCCAAGGCGGCCGACCGTAGTGAAGCGCGATAGAGAGAGTCGATTTGGCAAGATGTTTGAAGCTCAGCTCTGAGCGAGTGTCGATGAATTTGATAAGGTTGGTGAAATCGAAGTTCTGGATTGTGATGTCGATCTCAGCGGAGCCGTCAAGCATAGTAGCGAATTCCTGGCTGATCTTGTGATTGGCCACGAGGAGGCGCGAGGTTGAGCTTAAGCGCGGAGTCTTTTTCGGGAGATATGTGGTCTCGTTTGAAGCGACGAGTTCGTAGATCTGGTTGCGCACTCCACCTGGCAGATTCTCGAAGATGAATGAGCGGAGCTGAGTTGTCTGCTGCTTAGAAGATTTCTTAGCTTTCTTTTTCTTGCGTGCGCCTTGAGCGGTTGGAGGGTTGGAGCGCTTCATCGTGTTGGATGATGCGGGTCGTGGATGTAAAGGATAAGAAGAGATTGAGAAGGAAACTCAAACTTATACACTTAGCAAAGTGAGCTTGATGATGAAACGCAACGGCCATGCATGGAATTGCGTAAAAGGATCACTTAGGCAAGATCATCAAGTGACTCCACCAAAAGGCAGTCGCGAGATCATTTGCAACTCACCGCCAGGCTCTTGCACATGACCGCCAAGACTCCAAACCTAAAACTCCTTCGAAGCCAGCTTCGGTTTCACAACGGGCATATTCCCCTTATCGAAATTCCCACAGAAGACTTTAGATCCAGTAGGTCCAAAGAGTGGCTTCTTCCTCCTATCACGCGTCGAATGAGTTACGGTATTCTTGTCTTGCGTTGCGGCTGGAGCATGTGCTTCACCAAGCATGCATCGGTTGATGTCGGTTTGCTGGAAGAAAGATTTGCCGGTGCTACCGGTGTGGAAAAGATCGAGTGATGGGGCTGACGGTGGCATGTCGAGTAGAGTGCTGATGGGAAGGTGTTTGCTTTCGGGTGAGGTCGATTTGTGATTGCGGAGGGAGATGGCTTTGCGAAGTGGGCTTTTTATGATTGCCTACAGCCTGGCCGCAATGTCTCGTGAATGACTTCGGAGGTGTGGAAGAACGTATACAATGCCTTGATGGCAGTGACGGTGGTTCTCCCCCACATGACGGAAAGAGCAATGCCGCCTTGTATAAGTAATTCTGCCTGTTGCGAGACGTAATGGTAGGCTCCGGTGGCGCGAATTGCCGTCCTCGATCTCGTCGTGAATACTTTATGAATCCTCTCATATCGGACGCTACAAGCCATGTTAGACTTTTACCCGCTTCTCCAAGAAATTTCAAGATCAAAAATTACAAAATCGCCTAAGGTCAAAGTCAAGCGTCCTGTGGTTCCGCATGCATGAATTTTCAATTGCCATGATATGGCTCTACAGGCACGAGTCCCTTTACACTCTCACTCTCTCGCCTCCCGGTCTCCTCGTCCCCATCCACATCCCTTTCCTCCTCTTGCTCCACAATCGTCGTGACATGTATGCCCGAAGTAAGAGCATCCGGTGATGTGCGACCATGTGAACAACTGCTACTTTGGCTTCCTTCTTCCATATCTTTCATGTCAGATGTGTGAAACTTCTTTCCTAATCGAAAGGTGAATCGGCCGCTCTGCTTCTCTTTTCCTGTCTGACTTGGATTTGCTGATATGTGAGACTGAAATTTGCCTCGTGTGGCGGGACCGCTGAGTTCGAAGACGGGTGTCACGCGTCGAGATCCGTTGGTTGATATGAAGAGATGTGGGAAGAATCTGGTCACGCAGCCTTTTAGTGTTGGCAGGCACGAGCACACAATGCCGACGTTAACTTCAGTGCTGCTCCAGATCGCCGCTAGTGGGTTGTCCCAGCTTACGTCGTCCGAGACGGAAATGGCGTAGAGCGCGGACAGTCGCAATACTGATATGATGCACACCACGCCTCCGAGCCCGAAGACGGCCATCAATATGTATCGTTGTTTCTTTGGTATATTCAAAGATTTCAGGACAGGCAGTGGGATAATGGCGGTCGCCAAGTCTGTTGCGATATTGACAGCAGCATTGGAGAACCTGGTCTAGATTAGCGATCACTATAGATTATGTCTCAGGACGTTGACTTACCAGACTGCCAAGCGATTGAGGCATGTGCCTCTCGAACCATCCCAGAACGAATGAATTGGCCAGCAAGCAAAGACTGCCGAAAGAAAAGCCCACATGGTCCAGCCAACAATGACGCCAATCAACGCGAAGCACACTCTGCGGAATGGTCGATTCGGGAATATCCTGAGGTATTGCAATATGATCGATAGCTTTGTGAAGCACAGCGCAAGATAGTATATCCAGACAGATGCCCAGAACCATATCAGAGAGTATTTCTTCTCGTGTTCACTGAGCGTATCGTAATGCCTTCCCATTCCGTACTTCACCTGCATACACATTGTTGCGGTGAGGGCTATGGTAAGGGCGAGCGCGATTGAATTGAATAGGTCGTCCAATCCAGCATTGTGTACGATCCATGTTCGTGTGTAAATTCGAGCGACCGTTGCAAGGAAAGCCAGTATCGTGAAAGCGATCGTGACACCGGTGACAGCATCTCCTGGAGCATGTCCGCCCGCAGCCATTGTGCTGCCGCCGAGACCACAGCGGCGTCGAGCGTGTCGTCCAAATAGACCTCAGGCCTATGCGAAAATGCAAAATCGGAATGATGAGTGTCGGTCCCAGTTCGAGCCAGAGGTTTAGAGAACCATACCGAAGGTGCAAAGATCTGGGACCGAGGCCACGGACTGCCCAAGATTAAAGCTTCGACCCACAAGGACCATCAAGGCGCCCTGCAGCACGTTGCTCTATCCTCGAAGTTGTACCGCTATCAAGTCAAAAAAAATCTTCTTGATGTGGAGGCGGGCGAAGAAGCAGAAGGACACGGATGGTAAAAGTTGTCGAGCAGTCATGTCTTCATGACGGGCTGCAGGTGACAGCCACGTGGAGGGGGTCCGTTTGATCACCAAAGTCCGTGATCAGAAAAGCGGAACGCTGAGCATGGTGGAGTAACGTACAAACACCAATGTGTGGCGAGCAAGGTAGCACGCTGCACGTTGCACGCTGCACAAGAAGTGTGAACTGGTTAGTGTGCCAATGCGGATCAGATTTTGGACAGATGATACATAGCACGTATTGTCGAACTTCACTTGACGATGTGCACAGCTTTGAGGAAACATCTTCTCTTGCCGTAACAAATGGTCCGACACCTGCGATGTGGAAAGCGCCACACAGCTGCTGTTTGACAGCATCTGACTCGCAGCTCGCGGCGTGCAGATTTCGCGAAGCATGTGGGATCGCGTTCAGAACCCTTGGCGAAATGCTTCTCTGAGGCGAAGTTCAGCCGTCGTCCAATGTGCATGTCGTGGAAGTGATCGCCATACCAGATGGAGATGATCGGCTGAAGACTTTGTCAGATTCGACGAGTCAAGTCGCTCGCAAAAATCCCCAAAGTTGTTCCTGAATTCTTTGCTGGCATGGAATGTGTCCTTCGCCAATGCCGAGGACATGTGAGCTCCTGTTGTAGCACAAGTCTCAAGTCTCAAACAAGCGAGAACTGCATAGGAAATTGTTCCGCGATGCAACGAGATCTCAGCACGTCACATCACGTTGGCTGCAACTTTCCGTTCCTACCGTCATTGACGTCGTTCAAAAGCCACCGACAGATGTCTTTCGGGTCTGTAGAGAGGGATGAGCCTTGTCTGTCAGCTGTCTAATCGGAGATAACATCCCAAGTCATCTGTATGCTCCGTTGCACGGGCGAAGCACGCGCTGACATTCGGATCGCCAGCGGTGTGGATCTGGCCGGGGATGATTCGGAGTCTGCAGCAAAGTATCGTGCGAGCGCATTCAGTCATCCTCAGTGATAGGATGATAGTAGCAGACGAGATCTGATCGAGACTGCCTTGCTCCGAAGAAGTGATGAAGTTGAACTTGGGCAGGAGAAAGTTCATCTTCAGAGTTCAGCCAAGGCTGCTCGGTAGAACGGACCGAAGCGTGAGCCTGAGCCAAATTTGGAAACCGCGACGTTGCTGCTTCGAGCCGTGCTGTTCGACGACTTTCAAAGCTATGAGATCAATGCTATAACAAAACCACAACACCGGCATAGTACTGCCGAATAGCCTCACCATGCACTCGAGCTTATCGCGCATCCAGAATGTCTTTGGCTTCTTCACATCAGTGGCCTTTGCAGTAGCAGCAGCAATTGCAGTCAGCGTGCTTCTAAGCCCCCAAACACCATCGGCGTCTCTAGACCTCAAGAATGTGCGAGTGTATGTAGCAAATGACCTCTGTATCATATATTACATCCAAGCTGACGGCGATACACAGAGTCAAAGGAAGACCGCACTACTACTCCACCAAGCGCGAAGAATACGCCCACGTAACCTTCGACCTCGATGCCGACCTGAGCTCCCTCTTCAATTGGAACACGAAACAAGTCTTCGCATACATCACCGCCTCATACCCCTCGAAGAAGCCCGGCGAGATTCCTGACTCCGAAGTCGTCGTCTGGGACGCCATCATCCCCCACGACCTCGCACCTTTCCACCCCAATACGTACGTCCACCCTACACCCAGCGGTCAGAAGCAGAAATCCAAAAAGCGATCCCCAGACGCAAAAGCCTATCCACCCGGCACCGAGCCCGGTATCCTCCGTCTGAACAACCAAAAGCCAAAATACCAGATCACCGATGTGTCGGGGAAGATGGCGGAAAGGGAGAATGCTACTTTGACTCTGCATTGGAATGTACAGCCTTGGGTAGGACTTTTGACTTGGACGAATACGAACTCGTATGGTCGATGGCAGGGTTTGAAGGGTGGGAAGAGCAAGAGTTTTGATTTCCCGGCTTTGAAAGCGAGTGAAGCGGTGAAAAAAGAGGATCTTAAGACTGAGACTGGTGGGGAGCGGAATCGGGGGAAACCGGCGTAGTTGATCGGGATAGGCATGAATCCGCACTCTCAAAAATTTTGAAATGGCTGTCTGAAGACTTCGATCTCGGCCTGCTACAAAAATTCACACTCTCCTCATCCATCCTTTCAAACCCCAGCCTAATCTATCCATCCCAGATCCTAAGCAAAACACCAAAAAAGAAACTCTCCTACATTTCCGACACCACACAGAGTGGCATCATCAGAGATAGTGAAAAGCCCTCATATATTTGAAGGGTTGTTACTCTGTATTATCATTCCTGCCTGACAGGTCTCGTTACGAGTGGATACCTCGCCGATTGCAGGCTTTCTAGAAACGGCAATCGCTCTCACATCATCGCTTGACCGAAGGAGGTGTTTGTGGGATACTCGAGCTTTGGGATCGGTCTATGAGATGTAGGGGATGTTGAGGAGTTATGTGAGGGGGAAGTGGGAAGAAGAGAAGAAGGGAGTGAAAAAAATTGTGACGAGGAAAAATATGATACTGTAGTGAGAAGTTGGTACAATATAATGAAGGTTCGCGAACCCAAGTAGACTTCTCCTGAGCATCGCAGTGCCATAAGTATTGGTGGTGGCCTTGGCATTTGAGTTGTAGTTCCATTCGAGTTGATAAGCCGAAGTGAAGTAGAAGGAAGACAGGGAAACGGATAGAGCGAGACACTGCAGAAATACACATACATGCCTCAATATTATGTCATATCGCTGATACTATACTGCGTCAATGAGCATAATTCTGACCAAGACAAGACAGGCCGAGCTGAGCGGAAAGAAGGAGCGGGAAGCGCCGGCGCAGCTTCCTAACTTTGCCGGCGGGCGGGACAGCCAGCAAAAACAAAACGCACAGCTGGAGAGCACACCTGGCACCTGGCACCTGGCAACGGGCAACGCGGAGTTGGAGCGAGCAGACGACCACACCACACCACACCATCGCACAACCATCGAAACACGCCCGCCTCCATCAATTTCCAGCAGGCACGACTTCAAAGATTTATTTCATCCCAAAATCCCCACACCTGCACGCACTTCTGCACGGCTGACGAGCGCTTTCTGTCTCGTCGAGCGAGCGGCGCGCAGATTTTGCGCCCGTACAGCGGGTGGAGTGGTTGATGCCTGAGGCTCCACTCGCCGCTCGCCAGCTCGCCTGCCAACCATGAGCGCAAGGACGAATGCGAGGAATGTCCGGCAACGCAAGCTCAATACGAAACAGCCGCTGCATGTGATTCGTGAGGCGGATATTGAAGATGCGTTGGATCATGAAGCGCAAGGACATATTCCTCAGGTTGAGACTGGTGTTGAGAAGAATGAAGAAGTCGTAAGTGATTTCTGGGGCTGACCTTACCCTTGCCTGCTTCCATGGCTTACCTTTCATCGCGCAGGAATTCCATCTTCAGGCGGTCATCAATGCCGCGACACAGGCCAAGCAGACTTACATTCCCACCCCAGATGCTGTCAAGGCGAAAGGTGTCAAGTATGATGAGCTGTATCCCAGAACTTGGCGTGAGCCTGCAACCTACATCAGGTTCAGCTCGACGGTCGAGGACTGCATTGGGATTCCCTATTGCATGAATGAGGATGATGCAGCCTTTCTTGCCCAGCTCAACGATGGCAAAGATGTCAATGGCCAGCTTATCAAGGATAAGTCTGATCAATGCTCCGAAGACATGTTCGAGGAAGTCATGAATTGCTTTGAGGAGACCAGCCAGCGACTCCAGCCATTCGCCAACCTTGACAGCGCGCCATTGTTGTCGCTTCGAGAGATGCAGGATGCCCTCGAGGAACCTCTTCCAGCTGAAGCTAACAAGCATGTCGAGCACATCTATCAGTACTGGGCGTCCAGGAAAGGTAGTCGTCCTCTTGTACCAACCATCAAGGTCCGCGTGCTCGACACATCCAACGATGCAGATGATGCAGATCCCTACGTCTGTTTCCGTCGTAGAGAGGTGCGACAGACCAGGAAGACTCGAGGCCGAGATGCGCAGGTTGTGGAAAAGCTGAAGAAGATGAGACTGGAGCTCGAAACGGCCCGTCAGATCTTGCTCAGCGTCCGAACCCGCGAGGATCTCAACAAGGGATCGCTGGAGATCAACCGCAAAGTATTTGAGCAACGCAAGCAGCTCAAGGAAGTTAAGATCGCCAAGAACATTGTCGGCGATAAGAACGAGGACGAAGAATTGCTCGTCAACCAAAGGGTAAGCTTACCTTGCCATCATCATTGCCACGTGAATCTGCTGACACTTCATAGCCTCAACCAAAGCCCAAAGCAAGAGATGGCACTCAGGCTCGAGGTCCAACCATTCGAATCCCCTCTCGCGCCGACCGTGCACCAGAGACTGACCTCAAGCTGTTGGCTGACGAGCACGCTGAAGCCGATGCGCAGGTCCAGCATACGATTGACTCCAGGAAGGAACAACATCGACGCTGGAACCACCACTGGCAAGACCGGACATGGAATCCCATCACGCCACCGCCCGATGCAGCAGATCAGCCGCCACAGTGGGCAGCGCTCGAAGCACCCGGTGAAGGATATCCGACGCCACCACCATCACTGCCATCTAGGAGCTCACAGGATCGAGATGGCGATGTGGACATGGTGGACCAGAAACCGGATTTGGCGAAGCTCAATGCCATGGTGAGCAAGGAGCCACAGTTTAATCTCTGCTTTGCACCTCCATCGCCAAGCGAAAGCCACTACGACGAGGACGAAAGAGAGGCCAAGCGACAACGCTTCGGCAATCCCATGTGTCGCATCCGCATTGGACGTGGTGGTCGCAGACACTTAGAAAGGCGAAAGCAGAGACCGCAGGCTGCTGTCTTCAACGGTGTTGTCTCTGACGCTGAGAGCGATGATGAGCTGGAATCTTGTCATTTCGTTCCTGAGAGTAAGGTAATGGAGTACCGTTTGGCGCTCAGCCTGAACAGGACGAGTAGCCAGCATCAACAGAGACCAAGCGGAGACCAGGCCGCGATCATGGCTCAGATGCAAGCAGCGCAAGCGGCAGCAGCAGGCGCGCACGCAGCGACTGGCTCGAGCACAGCAGGAAGTCCAGATCAGCGTGGCTCAAGTGGGAATTTCGGCCTCCACTGAGTGCGTGCGTGATTGAATGTATGGATGGCGGGGTTTTGTTGCCGTATTTGCCCTTCGATACCACGCGGCTTGTTGTCATGATAGGATAGTTGTGATACCCATTGATGCATTGTACCAGTAACACATGCTTATCCCACCTCTTCTCTTCATTTCTTCACCGGATTCCTGATCGCCGCCGCTTCTTCCTCCAAAGTATCCGCCGCCCGCTTCTTATTAGTATTAGCATCATCCGTCACCGCCTCGATTGCTTCCCTAATCACCTCTTTCTCCCCTTCAATAACTTGTCTCGCCATCTCCATCCGTGTAGAAGAAGAACCCGACTCCCTCAACTCTTTCTCCACCGGATACTCAGAATATCGATGTACCAATACCCTCCTCAACAACCTCTTCGCCTCAACCGACAACTCCACCTTCGGTAATTTCTCCTTTTCCACCATCTTCTCAAACTCCCCTTTCCTCAAAACCAACAAATTCAAAAACACGCAAAGCTCTTCTGAGAATTGTCCCTCTTCGTTCCCCGGACGCGCGATATCGTACGCATCGTCCAGTACGCCTTGTTCTTCCGCATATTGAAATTTCGCATATATCTCATTCTCCGAATCGACTTTCACGCAATCTTTGATTTTCTCCGCCGAAATCTCCACCACATCCCATTTCGAATAATTTTTCGTCACGAATCCATACCTTCGCAATAAATCTGCGGGAGGAAGGGGGCCGAAATCGTTGAGGAGTTCTTCGCCGGCTGCTACGGGTTGCAAAGTTTTCATGATGAAAGAGTCTGAGGAGAAGAAGAGTTTGGAGTTTGTGAGGTCTCCGTTGGCGTTTAGCATGTCTGCTAGAGGGATTAGGGCTTTGGGGGAGATTTTTTCGTTTTCGGAGTCGGAGTCTGATTCCCATTCTTCGGAGGAGGAGGTGGTGGTGGTGGGAGGAGGGTCGAGATCGAAGGCGTAGGACATTATTATGCTGCCCATTCTATGACATAGAGCGAGAAGATCTTGATTGTTGCAGGTTCCGATTTTGAAGATTTCGGGATTTTTGGTTATGATTGGGAGTAATTGTTCAGAGAAGGTATTGTCTGCTTCTTCTTTCCCGATTTTTGAGAGTATGGCGCTGCCTTGGAGATACTGGAGTTCGTTATCGGTCCAGAACATTAGAGTGTTGAAACTTTCGGGGAGGATGTCGAGGTAGGGTTTGAAGCGTGAGTTGGTGCCGAGGAGGTATTCGAAGATCATGGCGAGGATTAGGGAGAGCCATGGGTCGGTGAGTTGTTGGAGGATTTCTTGGGGGAGGTCGGTGGTTTCGGTTGTGAGGATTGATGTTCGAGGGATGCGGAAGATTTCTTCGTCTGAGGTGAGGTCTGAGGTTGCGACTGGAGTACTCTGAGTCAATGTGTAGACTCGCATCAGAAGATTCTATGTGCAATGGTAAGACATACCGACGCCTCGGCCAGCTGCTCTGTCTCTTAGATCTGCGAGTTGGATCTTGGGAGAGATGGTTGCGCCTGTGTTTTTCAGCCAGGTGAGGAACTTGTCTGACATTGACTGGAAGTCGTCGATATCCATGGCTTCTTCCATCCTAGTGCTCGGATTCGTGCTCAGCTGTGTAAGTGAATATGCACAGTGTGTGTGCGTTGGACTGAGAAGATGCACTAGCAGACCGCTCTGAGCCGAGAATGAGGCTGGTCCCGCGGAGAACCCTTGAACTCTGAGACCGAGACCGAGACCGAGAGGAGAGGACCCTTGGGAGGAACATGACAGATTCTTTCTGCCCTCAAACACACTCGTTGGATCACGCCGGCACTTAGTGAGTGGATTTACGCAGGATGCACAGGGCTGGTATCGAGAGAGAGCATTTCCGACAATATCAGGGCTTGTGCTCACAGCATCTGACTGACTACCAAGCCTTGACTCTAACGATCGTCCTAATCCTAGACTGTCCAGATCCCCATGCGCCATCTGATAATCATGCAGATACGCTCAATCCTCCACGCTGGTCTCATGTACCTTGCGACGGCCGCGATGGCGAACTTCAGCTCAGCTTCTGCAAGATGAATGCCAAGACAAAGATCAAAGTAACTTGACCCCGAACGACATATGGGATTTCCCGAGATCTTTGTTGGACGAGATCCCGCCTTCCAATACCCAGCGCTCAGGTCTGAAGACGACGGAATCTGAAAAGATATCCTCGTTGCCGTGCACCACGAGTGAGGAGATCCCGACATTCCACCCTGCAGGCACTCTTCTCGCCATGTTAGACAATCAGATCGTCTGGCGCTTACCCGGACTATGCGACGTGCCATGCCAAACATTACAGGAGTGCCTTCGAGAAACACAGCGTTCAAGTAAGGGAGATCGAAGAGAAGTGCTCTTCATTATCGCCTTCATCCTATGGTCAGCACAAAGCTCACATGAAAAATGTCTCGCTTCAAAGCTGAGCTTGAGGAACCAGCAGTGTCTGGAATTGCAACGACAGGTGTGGACACTCGGCCGAGTCAAGCCTCATACACCCCAATATGCTGGAGCTCCTGGGATGTACTCGTGGCTGGGTTAGTGGAGGTGGCCAGATTCAGATTTCCAACAAAAATCTCCGCGTGATATAGCGACTCTTTAAAGATGCAAGCGAAACTTTGGAATACTCATCAGCCTCTACACCCAAGGCGGACCTTCGCACAGCCGAACCTGAAACTGGACTCATATGAAGGATCTTCATGGTCTCATATTCAACTGGTCTCCGTTTCATGGGGCGTTCCTGCGAAGACAGATTGATCAAAGCTTCAGCATAGGGGCATCGACCAGACATTATATCGTAAAGCTTCCTTGAGCCTGAATATCCAACACGCTCTTGCCCACGAATACCTGATACGTGCCTTTCGGCTGGACCCAGCGCTTAGCATCAGAGTCCCAAGTACTAATGTCCTTCTTCCTTAGGCTAAAGGTCACAGGCTTACTTGCACCGGGAGCAAGCGGAGTCTTCTGGAAGCCACGCAGAGCCCTCGTATTAGCACCGGGAATCTGCAGGTATAGCTGGCTGACTTCTGCAGTGGAGAAGTCGCCAGTATTTGTAACGCGGATGGAGACGGTGCCAACAGTATCGAAGAGGCCTGTCACATCAGGCTGATAGATGTTGATAGCAAAGTCCGAGTATGGAAAGGTCGTGTACGTAAGGCCATAACCGAACTCGTAGCGTAGAGTCACATTTCGTGCTAAGAAGGAGCGGTAATCGATCTTCACGCCTTCTGTGAAATATGACTTTGGATCAGTGGTGTTGACGTGCCAATATCAGGACTCAAGAGATGTCCATAGTCACTCTCGCTCTTGGCCAAAGTATACGGCATGCGACCAGATGGCGAGACGTCTCCATGCAGAATCTGAACAAGCGCTCTTCCAGCATCCTGTCCAGGAAGGTGGGCGAAGATGAGAGCCGTAACATTCGGATGCTTGACCTAGGCATCTACGATTCTTGCACCGGCGTTGTGAATCACGACAATTGTGTTTGAACACTGCGCAGCGATATTCTTCACGAGCTCGTCGCTAGGCCCGTCAGTCAGCCCATCCCAGCGATCCCAGCCTTCGCTGGCCCACTCATTGAGGAAAATGATGGCCGCGTCGCTTGCGCCTTCCACTGCGGGGTTGGTGTTGGACTGATCGAAATTCCAAAACAGCTGTGTTCCATCTTCGATCGCACGGTTCGTGAGTGCATCGAAAGGAGTACTGATGTATGGTGGAGTGTTCGCACCAGGGCCACCGGCAGTGAACATCACACCAGGAAATGTATGCGGCGCATAAATGGTTTCGTAGAAAGCGTTGTAGGCCTTCTCGCCGAGTAATTGCCAGTTGAAATTGAAAAGATCGGCAGTGGTGTTAGGGCCAAAAGCTCCCGCCACGACATCTGGTCCAAAAATTGGCTCGGCTGTGGCACCGTAGCCGAAGAGGGACAGGACGTTGGGCTTCTTGAGTGGCAGTGCGTTGTTGGTGTTCTTGACAAGTACGTGGCCTTCCTGTGCTCCTTGGAGAATGCTTGGAGCCGAAGCAGGATCACGAGCCTTGACAAAGGTGTGTTTTAAAGTCAGATTACCACTCTCTGCAAAACCTGGACCCGATGATGTGGCGGGAAAGGTAGACGAGTCTTGACCGGCAAAGTACCAAGTAGCGATGGTACGAAGAGCCATGTCTTCAAGACGATCTCGGCTCAAAGTGCCGTTCCGAACAGCTTGGGCAAGTTGATCATTGTTCCAGTATTCCGAGTCTGGCATCACAACGTCCAGACCGTTCTTGGCAGTGTCGAATGAGTGTTGAGCGCCCCAGTCAGATACGATGAAGCCTTTAAATCCAAGCTCATTCTTGAGAAGCTGGTTCTGGGTGTAGTCGTTGTCACATGCATAGCTGCCGTTGACGCGGTTGTAAGCGCACATGATCGAACCCGTTCCAGCTTCGACTGCATCGTGAAAGGGCCAGAGGTAGACCTCGTGGAGAGTCTTGTCGTCAAGAATACTGTCGACCGCCAGCCCATTTTCATTCAGAGAAGAAGCTGTGCGATTGGTCTCTTGCTCGTATGCCAAAAAATGCTTCGTGCAAGCAATCGCGCTTTCTTGGAGGCCTTTGATGGTCGGCGCAACAAGAATGCCATCTAGATAAGGATCGGCACCAAAGCCCTGGCCACGAATTAGTCTCTTGCTTCATGCTCAGCCTCGTCTGCACATCATACCTCCCAATTCCTCCCGCCTTCCGCAATACGCCCAACAGGTCCAATAACCGGCCCAAGAGCAACATTGACGCCTTTCCGCTGGAACTCCGCGCCCATGTACTTTCCGCGTACATATGCAAGCTCTGCATTCCAGCTGGCACCCACTGATATACCCGAAGCGAACGAGCTCACGCCGTCTTGGGCGCGCACACCATTGCCGGCATCTTGGAAGCAAAGTCCTGGAAACCCAAGTCTGGGGACACTGCCACTGACACCGGAGCAGGCGTTGCCAGCTGAAAGTGTACCGCCGACTGAGTATCCGAGGGTCACGTTATTGAGCTCACTCAGAGTCAAATTTGCTACGAATGTCGACGCTTTGGCATATGCAGATGCCCATGGATTGCTAGCGGGGAGTGCTGGAGATGTTTTGTTAGCCAAGTTGTCAAGAGTACAAGCGAGCCATTGACATACTGGTTGTATATGCGGCCGAAGCCAGCGAGGCTGTGAGAGTGACGGAGCGCATCATCTGTCTTGTGTCCTTCACCTGGGGAGAGGTGGAAGATTAGGTTTAGAGCTCTCGCGTGGCATTTTGCAGACTGGCGCATCATCATGCATATATGCCTTGAAGGTAGCGGCGAAAAGGCGGGCAGTACATTGTAGCCCTTGTACCTCGATGACCTGAGCCGTCGGACTAGTGCAATACTCATTGTCTCTAGCTTGTCCCTCTCCGGGGTCTGTCGTGTTTGCAGCAAGAACAGGTTCGGACTGGAGCCAAGTAGGTATGCGCTACTGCGTGTTCTCGATCGGACTTCCTAGACGTCTACGTGGAATAGAGCCCGGCGCCGTACCGTATTAAGGGCAATGGGAGAGGAACGACTTCAAGACCGAGGAGACACCGAAGAAACAATAGAGTCGGCTAATCAATTCAAAATGTAGACCATCCCCTTGACGAATTCCTAGGCTAAGTCCGACGAACTGAAGTGGAGGAGGAACTGCTATCAGATGAGGGGATCGAAGGGCGAGCTCGGTGCAGCATTCTTACGGAAATTCCGAGAATCGAGCGTGAGGGAGAACATCGCAAAGAAACGTGCCTGACTAGTACAGAAAGAGGATCCAGAGACTCGTCATCGAGCTTTGAACGCCGCGATGTGACACGAGATCAGCCGCGCGTGAGAAGCATCCAAGCATCTCAAGCAAATTGCCAAGCTTCGCAAGCGGCGGGGTACGAAAGTGGAGGGCGGAGAAGACTTGGGCAAGACTTGGGGAAGACCCAGTCTAGCCAGGCTATATCGATCGCTTGTTAGAATCTGTGATTATTGTTACATTAATGAGGATATCGGTGTTGATTCAGCAGTAGCACAGGCATATTGTACGATCTTGAGGCCGCGACCTACCTTACTCCACGTTTCCGTAGGTCGGCAAAGAATCCGCAGGCGACTATGTACCTACCCCTGGGAAGAAGCAGTCCATGCGCCCTCTAACAGTGCATGTCACTGACCACAGATCGTCAGTAAAGTCTAGTGTATCGTTTTGGTCTCAGCATACCGTTCGAATGAGGCCTGTGTCCATGCCGTGAGAAACTGCTTGCATGCGGCCATCCACACGTAAGATTATAACCTCCTTTCGTTCGCCATCTCAATCTGAATAGCTGTGTAAGATGCCCCTCGAGGCCCATTTCGATTAACCAAAATTCGATTAACCGAAACGAAGAGAACCGAACTCGAGTCCGCTCCTCGCTCACGTGTCTTGATACAACGGTATACTCGGTCTGATTACCGCACTCTTAATGATTTCTAGTCGAGTCGTATATCAGTAAAGCAATCATTTTCTAGCGGGCTTGACTTACTTATTCCATCTTGTAGTAAAGGTCTCGCAAAGCATCGAGTTTCGATCCTCTGCGACTCCCTTGCATGAGGACATTGCCGCGCGCGTTCACGAGGACGGCGTAGTAGACTCGGACTTCTGGCCCGGAGATCTTCTCGATGTAGACGCTGAAAGGATTGGCGGCCCTGGTCGACAGAAGGTAGTAATAGTCGTAGTACCACTGGGAGTATGTGCGAGGGTACTTGTCGTGAGCGCGGCCTATAACGTGTCAGTATTCTAGGAAGGGTACTCACTGGGCTTGAGGATGTTGTCTTACGAAGAATGGCCTGGCGCACTGTCAGCTCAGGGCCGCTAGGGTGCCCGAAGCATAGAAACGGCATCTTTCGTGGGTGTTTTGGTTCTGTGTTGATCAGGCTCAATGATCGAAGGGTGTCCTGTTGATAGAAGTTCCTGTGGTTGTTGGTCGCATCAAGTGCTGGATGCCGTACGCGACGTTTTAACCTCGCAGAATCCAGGCAACATCTTGTACCATGCGTTCACCTGCACGGACCTTTTCGCAAGCACATGTCAACAATGCATGTGAAGGTCGCGGTGAGGTCGACGGAGGCCGTCTACCTGTTCACTCCAGATCACATGACCTTGATCCACTTCCTGCTATGCTTGGGCAGCCGAAGGATTGGACACGAGTCATGATGCCACACCTTAACAGAGAGTTAGTATATGTAAACACAGTGCCGCCTTGGAAGCAGCAAACGCGCTCTTGTTGATTATCGTTATCCCCACAACATACAAGATGGCAGAAGACGGTTTCGAGAGCGAATCGGACTTTGCCAAGCTACTGCAAACGTCGGGAAAGAATGTCCTGATATACGCATACGAGGGATATATCCCGCCAAGGGCCAAAGAGTACGTCTGTAGTATTCCTCATTCGATGGCATCGTTGCTAACAGATCGCAGTCTTGCCAAAATGTTTTCGCATACCACAATATCGTATATGGTCGATGTTGCCCAGCATCTTGAAGCAGAGGTATGTACCTTGAACGCTCATGCTTTGTGCCCTGGCTAGAAAGCTCTTACACAGGATTATTTCGGAATCATCGAGGTTCCAACATTCATCGTATACAGGAACGGCGAGGAGATAAAGCGAGTGCTTGGAATGGACCCAGCCGGTCTGGAGTCTCTGCTCAAGATACTGGCATGAGCTGGCATCATGTATATTCACTTATTGGCTCAGGTTTGGCCTTAAGGGTATCCGGCAGATGTGTCGACTCGAGGAGTTCTGGGCGGTTTGGGGCGGCGATTCGAAGGTGCGACTTCTTAGAAAGCCGTATAAAAGCGACTATGGCGCGATAGTGGTGGAACATTCATTCTGTCGTAGTTTTGCTGTGGACATAGCAATCTTTGCGTTTCGCTTTCGACTTCATTGCGTCGTGGTATTATCGAGCTCTCGCGTGCTGAGAGGTAGGCGTTTGTGTCTTTCGGCTCTTCATATCCGCACCGTGATGGAAATTTGAAATAGCGAGGCACATTAATCTGCTTCCGCTGCAGTCAAGTCGTCTTTGTTGACAGAGAAGGGAGATCGCGACCGCGTGTATCTGCAAGGAGATGAAGTCCGAGGCTGACAAGGGCTTGGCGCTAGAATAGACCCAGCTCTACGCAAGAACTCTTCGTGTCTGTCTCCAGTCCCATGGAATACCACACTTGCTCCGCTGCGAGCAGTGCTGATCACGATTCTAACGACATGTATAATGTCGCTCTCGACGTGATTCGCTTCAAGATCCTCATCAGCCATCGACTCGCAAGCCTCCCAGAACAAGGTTCCAGATGGAGGTACCGAAACGCTTCCTACTGACAGTGAAAGACTGGATACATCCATGATCAGAAGCAGTCAAGAGCTCATGGAGGAATGAGACAATGTGCCTTGGAGGATTGAGAGGGGCACAAACATTAAGAAAGAGTACAAGATTTCCCTTCAGCATGGTAAAGGCGGCGGATCTGCGGGCGGTCAGTGATCACAAAGCAGGACTAAGCACCAGCTTTCACAGCTTGTGATGACTCTGGAAAGGAGGATATCTTGGGCGCTTTGAAGACCATATCGACCATATCTTCAGACCAAAATACCCTTGGTGCCCAAGCCCAGCCTTCACCTTTGCTGAACCACTTAGACCAGCATTCTCTGGAGTAAGCCGTAGCTTCATCAGCTCATCTACGGCCCTCTTCTGTAGTCGAGACGTTGTGGTGATGTACAAGCCGCGGAACTAACTGCACTCCGTTCTCGTCGTGAACGGCCCTGCGACAGTGCCAAGCAATTCCACCTGAAGACATCCTTAAATGGCGAGCTTCGGGTCCATCACGGTGCCAGGACCACCAAGGTGGCAGAGACAACCAATGGGCGTTGTTCCTGTTACACTCACCTGCTCAACTGCTCGGTCGGAAGGACTCATAATCGCCTGTGAGCAGTAAGTAGGAGTTGTTGAGAATTCGGCGACGAGTGGCGAGTGGAATGTCTCTTCAGTACTCGGTCCAGCGTTTCATGCTATGTAAGTACAAAAATATTCCAGACTTATAATGAACGTCGATGCATAGGCTTTCCGGTCTAGTTGCGACCTGTTCCAGAGCAATTGCCATGTATGGTCATCGTTCAGTGACACTGTGGACATGAAATGCTCGATTCTGGATTACATGTTCTTCGCTCGACACGGATACCGTAGAAACTCGATATCTAGCCCATGGGCTTATTAGACCTTCGTTCCAATAGTGTCGTATTCTAGAGTGGGCCTATTAGCCAAGAGTGGGCTTAGTAACCAGTGAAAACCTTGTTTGACCGCATACAGCGCCAAATTAATGCCGTAGATTATATCGTTGTTATACTACGCTCTTGTAAGGTGTTGTTGTTACTAGAATAGCGCTAACTAATCTATAGACTGCCTCGAAGTCCGCTTAGAAGCTAGTTACTATATCCTCGAGTTTAAAGATAGCAAAAGCAAGCTCTTTAAAGGGGCTAAAGAAGCTATTCAAACCGCGACTAGATTAGTCTAAAATCTTCGGATATAACCTAGAAGTAGCCTCGTAATCGTAGGAGACGCTCTCGAAGAAGGCGGTAGTAGATTTAGAAGGAATATCGAAGGCGGTTAAAGAAGGTAGCAAGGTCGTATTTCCTAGGGTAATAGTAGTTAGAATAGGTCCGAAATTAAAGCTATAAGCTAACCGCTATACTACGGCTTAGAAGAACCGTAATAAGCACGTCTAGGCGCGGCGCGCTCTCGCTATCGCTCGAAGTAAGGCCGCTAAAGCGCTATAGAAGGCGATAGCGGAAGACGCGGTTATCGAAGAGATAGTAAGGAGGGTAGCGAATAGCGAGTCTAACGAATAGGTTAACGTTAATAAAGAGGAAGAAGAGGTCGCGGACCCTTTAGTACTAATAGACGCCTATAACGAGTTAACTAATAATAATAAGGAAGAGATAGAGGTTAATAACGAGACGAGGGTTAGTAGTAAGCGGAAGTCCTATACTCGCGAGTTTAAGCTCCGAGTCGTAGATTATTTAAAGTCTAAGAAACAGAAGTATATAAAGAAGGGTAGTATTGTTATCGTCGGTCCTATCTCTATTAAGAAGACTGCTAAGTACTTCTATTTAGACCGTAAACAGGTAAGAGAGTAGTCCGCGAATAAAGCCGCTATTCGTAACTCGAAGGTTAATAGTCGCTAGGTTAGCAATAGTTACCGCTCGGCGTTGCTTCTACAACTCGAGGCTACGCTATATAAGGGCATTATAAGCGCTCGAGAATAAGGAATTAGAGTTAATAACGTATAGATAATCCGAGCCGCGAAGAAGATATATGCTACGCTCTATCCGGACAAGGTTACGCTTATAAAGGATAGACTATACTTTAAATACTTTAGGTTCTCGAAGGGGTAGTTTACTAGCTTTAAACGACGCTAGAATATATCCCTTCGTAGGAAGATAAAGACCGCTTAGAAGGTACCCTCTAAGCTACTTTACTTTATTGTCTCCTAGCTTTAATTTAACCGCTGTAATAGCCTCTGTCGTCTAGGAGAGGTACCTAACCCTATTACTAAAGGACGATATTCTCTCGGTTAGATAAGCAATATAGATTAATCGCTATTGCTATACGACTTCCGCGCCGAAGATACGTACGATATAAAGGGCGCGAAGACTATCTATATTAAAACAGGCAAAAGTAGATAGGATAAGAGATAGGCAACCTTCTAAGGAGAACTTTATAGTAATAGTCTATAATAAGGCAAGCTATTAATAGTCTTCCGTAGTAGTCTAGGTTTCCTTAATATACTATACGGAAGGCACGAGAAGAAGTTCTATAATACTAGCGTCTACGTTGTATTCTAAACTAACGCCTAGTATAACGAAGAGGTCCTACTAAAGTAGCTTAAGAAGAGCTAGAAGTTTGCCTATATTCCTAGACTTAGTATAAGAACCTAAGCAAGTGAAGTCTCCTATCCTGCCTTAGCAAGCCTATATAACAATTATGTAATGTTATTACGTATAGTACGATACAGCCGCGCTAGCGATAAGCTTGCTTAGCGCATACGCGTAATGCTTAATTACACGTACGGACATGCTTAGTAGCCGGTACGGCAGATATGCTATCCGTGCTAGGCCTAGTTAATAGTAGTCGCTCTGCCCTATTCTAAGAAAGGCACGGTTTAGTTCTACTTTCTACTACGGCGATTAGTAGAGGGTGTTCTATACGTTGCTATATACCTATTTTCTTATAGTTCTAAACTGTCTACCCTTCGTAGCGGCCTATAGAACCCCGAAAGATAAACGCAAGCGATCCGAACGCGCCGGGCGCGGGAAACGCGTAGAATAATGCATTAGGAGCGCCTATAGCATTAGAAAACGACGTAGCGACACAATAATACGAGGCCGAATATTAGGCGCGCCGAGAAGCGACCCGCCTACGGCTCGAACGATTTCTAGCTAAGTAAGAAGTGCTTAGGCTAGAAGTCTAGGCTTAAGAAGCTAAGCGAGAGAATGCGCGTCTTCGTACCCTTAGGGACGTAGGCGATACGCTAGCTCCGAGTAGCGGTACTGCCGGCGAGGGTCCTACGATAACTCTACCTCTAGGCGACGATAACGATAAGGACGAGGAAGAATTAGCTAACGAGTCGATTTAGAGGCCTAAATCTTAGAGAGCTAAATCTGTCTCGTATCGACTACCTCTTTCCGGAAGTGCGCTAAGCGTAGCCCCTATACCTAGTATAAGCTACGCAGTCGCTAGTCTTGCGGCTATTAAGCCTCGCCTAAAGGAACCTAAGCCCTTTAAAGGCGATACGATTAAGGAGTCGAGGCGATTCCTTCGAGAACTTTCTATTACCTTTATACTATCCGGAGCTACCTATTATACGGACGAGAGCAAGGTACTCTATAGTATTATATACCTCGTAGGCGATACGTAGGAGCGATAGTATAATAAAAACAGCCTTAAGGACCTGCAAAATTATACCTACTAGGACTTTAAAACCTTCTATCGGGACTGCGTCGGGGACCCTATAAACCGTATACTAGACGTAACCCTCGAGTATAAGGCGGCCCGTTAGCGTAAGGGACAGTTAGTCTAAAGCTTTGCCCTTAAGCTCGTAGTACTCGAAGATTAACTTAGCGACTATAGCGAGGAGTATAGGATCCGCTATCTCCTTATTAAACTCTAGCCGGCGATTCGTAGCGCGATTATTAAATACTATACGGTGCTAACGACGCGTTACGAACTCGTAGAGCTTGCGACGTATATCGAGACCCCTAACAAGCCGTCTAGCAAACGCAAGGATCGTAACTACGATAAAACCGGAGGTAGTAAAGGTAAGAAGCGTCGATCTAATAGTTAGGCCCGTAAGTAGTAGTCAAATCGCGACTATAGCGTAGGCGGAAAGTATACGAAGGGCGATAACTCGTAAGGCGGGTATAACATTAGCAAGGTCGAGTATTATAGCTGTCGCTAGAAAGGCTATTACAAGAACGCGTACCCGAACCGCTATCTCTAGAAAGACGATAACCCTACGGTACGTAAGGTAGCCGCTAACGCTAAAGAGAAGAAGAACGACTCGAAGGCTAAGGGAAAAGATAAGGCACCTCCTAAGAGCTAGGGATAGGTACGGAATCTCAACTAAGTAGCTTAGTAGTAGTAGTACCTACGGGACGCGTACGCGGAGTAATCGTTACGCAAGAAGGGGAAGTGTCCGTCGAATGCTTGTTAGATAATGCTACTAACATTAATGTAGTATCTTAAGAATTCGTTCTACGATACTAGCCTTAGCGGATTGTTAATGCCGTACTACCTAGTGCCGATAGTTTCTAGGGCGACCGAGGATACTGCTACGGAGCGTATTATCTACGCTTGCGGATCGCCGACTCTATAGGCTAAGAACGTATTACTACCGGAGTGTTCTACGCTTTCGAAATGCCCCTCCCTAATATTATTCTTAGTAGGCCTTAGAGGCGCGATTAAAAGGTAATCGTCGATAGCTCGACAGATACCTAGACCTATAGGAACGAAGCCGTAGCGCGTTCGATACGCGTACGGGAACTATAGGAATTCTAGAAGGATATATATAACGCTCTATGCGTATATGCGATTAGCGTTCGCTAGCTCCGCGATATCGCTAAAGGTTCCTCCTTACTAGAAGAATTCAAAGACTTCGAAGACGTCTTTATAATAACGCCCGAAGCGAGACGCAAGCTCCCCGAAGACGTAGAGTATACGATCGACCTAATCCCCGGAACGAAGCCGCTATATAAACCTCTCTACTATTCTTTAGGAAGAGAGCTTAGCGACCTTCGTAATTACCTAAGCTTAGCCTTAGACAACGATTAGATCTAGCTTAGTATAAGCGAGGTGGGTACGCCGATCCTATTCGTACTAAAGAAGGATAGTAGTCTGCGACTCTACGTTAATTATAGGGGGCTAAACGAGATTACTATTAAAAATCGTTACCCCCTGCCTCTTATTAGCGAAACGCTTAATAGGCTTAAGGACGCCGAATAGTATACGTCCTTAGACCTTTAGGATGCATATTACCGCATTTATATTAAGCGAGGCGACGAGTAGAAGACTACGTTCCGTACGCGGTACGGGCACTTCGAGTATAAGGTAATGCCTTTTAGGCTTACTAATGCTCCTACTACGTTTTAAGGATACATTAATAGGGCGTTAGCTAGCCTAGTTAATATTTGCTATATCGTCTACCTTAACGATATTCTTATTTATAGCAAAACGCGAGAGGACTACGTATAAGACGTACGCGCTATCCTTACGCGGCTCCGGAAGTTCGCCTTATATACGAATAGAAAGAAATGTTCCTTCTAGAAGAAAGAAGTCGAATTCCTCGGGTTTATCGTTAGTACCGAAGGCGTATCGATAGATTAGCGTAGAGTAAACGCTATTACCGAGTAGCCTCGCCTATTAACGCTAAAGGAGGTTTAATCCTTCCTTAGATTCTATAACTTCTATCGGAGGTTTATTCTAAATTACTCCCGGATCGTTATACTACTAACCGCCCTATCGAAAGGAGCCGTAAATAGCCGAAAGCTAGGGTAGGTCCCGTAGGGCGAAAGCGAGGAGCAAGCGTTCCGCTAGCTAAAGGCTGCCTTTAGCTCGGCCTCGATATTGCGATACTATAATCCTACGAAGCCCCTACGCATCGAGACCGATGCCTCTATGTTTGCCTTAGTAGGAATTATGTTACAATAGAGCGAAGATAGGAATTAGTACCCTATTGCCTTCTAGTTACGGAAAATAGTCCTAGCTAAGACAAATTATAAGACCTATAACTAGGAGCTCCTAGCGGTTATCGAGTCCTTTAAGTATTAGCGCCCGTACCTCGATAGCGCTTAGTATACGACCCGCGTAGTTGTCGACTACGCTAATCTTAAAGGCTTTATAAAAATAAAGTAGCTCGTCGGAAGGCAGGCAAGATAGGCGACCTTCCTTATACCTTTTAACTTTACTATTAAACATCGGGCTAGTAAGCGAAATCTAGCCGATGCGCCTTTACGACGTAGCGACTACGAGAGCGAGTCGTAGGCGGTAAACAACCTTCTCCCTATATTGTAGTCGAAACTAGCTCTATAGTTAAATCTACCTAAGGATATCGAGCCGATTATAAAACGTATCTCTATTATATATATAGGGATGCGAGACGCTAGTATAGCGCTAGCGGAACGCAAGGGTTTTATTAGCAGTCCCGCAAGAGTAGCGGCTACTATCGTTAGGAATAATAGGCCCTACTACGAGACGCCTAATATAATCCTTAGTTTCGTACGTACTTTATAATAGCTAGAGTAAGCGAGAGGAGGAGGCTTATACGAGATAAGCTTACCGTCGGGTAGCTTAGCCTCGTTAAGTAGTTCTAACCTTCCGCCTAGCTATTCTCGTCGTAGTAACCTTATTTACTACGGCGATACGCTATATATCCCTAAGGACTACGTATTGCGTATATAGCTAATACGTATACACTACGACGACCCTTTAGCTAGACACTTTAGTATAGCTAAGACTATAGACCTAATACGCCGAAAGTACTTCTAGCCGAAGATAGCCGAGGATATTACGGCCTATGTCCGCACCTATAGAATTTATTAACAGTCGAAGGCGAAGCGCTATCGCCTATACGGCGAGCTCGCTGCTCTACCTATACCGACCCGACCTTAGTAAGAGTTAACGATAGACTTTATTACCGATCTCCCGCCGAGCAAGCTCGGTACCTACGTATATACTGCGATCCTCGTAATAGTCGACCGCTATACGAAGATAAGACTCTTTATCCTAACGACGAAGAAGTGTATAGTAGTAGAACTCGCGGATATCCTTTAAAGGGAGGTAATTAGGCGTTTTAGAGTGCTATTAGGCATTGTTAGCGATCGTGGATCGCTTTTTACTAGCTAGTTTTAGAGCGACTTCTGCTTCGAAGCGTATATAAAGCGCAGGCTTAGTACAGCCTTCTATCCTTAGACTAATAGGTAAACCGAACGCGCGAACTAGACCCTCGAGCAATACCTACGATGTTATTGCTCCGAGAACTAGGATAATTAGGCTAAATTGTTGCCTTAGGCGGAGTTTGCCTATAATAATAGCGTTTATCCTACGTTGCGTATAAGCCCCTTTAAGATACTCTACGGCTTTAACCCTAATTTGATACCGAGCGCAAATAAGCTGCTAGCTCGGGACGAGCTAACTAAGGGAAGGGCACTAGCAGCTATCGACGCTGCGGAGCGCCTACGGAAAGTATATAAGACGCTTACGGAACGCTAGCAGAAAGCAGCAGAATACTAGGCTAAGTAATATAATATATACTACACTACTAAGACATATAGTATAGGCGACCTAGTCTTGCTATCGACAAAGAATATTAGCTTAGATATCCTAAAGAAGAAACTTAGCCCGAAGTATATAGGGCCTTTCCGTATTATTAACGCAGTTAGAGCGTAGGCGTACCGCCTAGCACTGCCGTTAAGCACGAAGATCTACAATGTTTTCTATGTTTCCCTCCTCGAGCCTTAGTATAGGCGCGATAGCGAGGAGTATAAGGTAAGTATACCCGTCGCTAAAGGCGATAAGTAGTAGGTAGAAACAATCGTAGCAAAGAAGATAAAGAAGCGGAAGGCGTACTACCTTATTAAGTAGCGAGGTTAGCCTAAAGAATACAACACTTAGGAGCTAGCTGTTTATATTAAAGATTCTATAGCGTTAGACGAGTTCGAAGCTTAAGCGAAGCGTAAGCGCAGGCAGTAATTAAAACAAAAGAAAATAAAACTTAAGAAAAATAATAGATACGTACTCGTTTCGCTACTAAAAAAGGCCTATTAGCCTAGCATATATAAAGAAGGCGCCGCGCAGGCGCGCCGACGGCGGGCCGCCTACTCTACTTATCCTTAGAATCCTCCTTAGACTCCTCCTGCTCGATGCCTATAGCGGCATCGATAGCGGCGACGGCGTTAGCGCCGACGCGCTAAGCGAGGTTCTAGTACGGTTAGTATGCGAAGCGTAAGTAAAACGAGGCTATAGGAAAAACTATACCTAACGACCGATCTCTACTAAGCCGGCTAAGTTAGTGCCGATGTTTTCGAGGGTACTAAGGAGGTTAACGTCTATAAGGGACCCGCTAGCGGCCCCCTTGCGGGCTAGGGCTTTACCGCCTAGGGTTACCTTATTCTTATTAATATAGAAGGTATCGAGCGTAGATAGGATAACTAATATCGAGGTTAGTATACGAAGCGCAAGCGGAGCGTATAAGAAACCTACGTACAACGATAGCGTCTAGGTTAGCCTAGAGTACCTCTAGGGCCTCGTTAGACTCCTCGATAGAGTCGTAGCTGTCTAGATCGTAAAGGTCGCGCGCAGCGCGCGCGGCGCGGATACAGGCTAGTAGCGACACTAGCGCGCGTACCGTAATAGGCGTATAGGTATAGTAGCTGCTACGGCAGCGATCGTAGTTGCGCTTAGTAGTAGGGTCTATATTGCCGCCTATATAGAGTTTAGATAGGTCGTCTAAAGCGAGTTAGTTACGAAGCGCGTACGCGTAGCAAGGGGCGAGAAAACGTACCGTTAGCCGTTATATGCCTAAAGCAACGAGTATAGCCCTCTAGGACTTTTAGTAGGCGCTAGGTAGGCGTAGTAGGTATCGAGGGCGGTACGCCTACGGCGCGCTTACTAGAGGTACGCGAAGGGGTAGATATGCTAGTAATGTTTTTTAGATAGATATTTAAAAAAGAAAAATCTTTAAGTAATGCTAGGGGGGCGTAAGGGGGGAGTAGGCGAGGGGTAGGTAGGCGGTGTTCGGAGCGCTTAGAAAAAGAAGAAGTTTTTAAGCGGGCTTCGAATGCTTTAAATACTCGCCTCGCTTTCGGATAGCTTACGTTCTCGCGTAGCTACCGCGTTCTTAGAAATTTAGGCAATCTCTAGTTAGTACTAGAAGCAGCCGCGCTTTAAATCTATAAACAAACAAGCAACTACGAGGCAAATTATAACGTACCTAGCAACTATAGCTTAGCGATAGGTACGTACGAGACGCGTAAGTGCAGCGTAGAGTATAAGAAATAGTATGATTTACTATATTGCCCTACAGCTAGGATAGCTATACCGGGGGAAGGAGATAATTATAAGAACCTAAGTAAGTGAAGTCTCCTATCCTGCCTTAGTAAGCCTATATAACAATTATGTAATGTTATTACGTGCAGTACGATGCAGCCGCGCTAGCGATAAGCTTGCTTAGCGTATGCGCGTAATACTCAATTATACGTACGGACATGCTCGGTAGCCGGTACGGTAGATATGCTATCTGTACTAGGCCTAGTTAATAGTAGTCGCTCTGCCCTATTCTAAGAAAGGCACGGTTTAGTTCTACTTTCTACTACGGCGATTAGTAGAGGGTGTTCTATACGTTGCTATATACCTATTTTCTTACACTTAGAGAGACAAGAGATATGCTACGGTTACTTATACTAGACGTTTATGCCGCTTAGAAGACTAAACGAGTATTACAGCGCTTCCGTAAGCTAAATACTGTTACTTCCTTTATTCCTAGCAGCTATACTAGCTATATCTAGGCTCTTAATGTATCTATTAATAAGCTACTAAAGGATTATATTAAGGAGTGCTACGATAACTATATCTTCTACTATCTAGATAAGGTTAATCAACCGGTCTACGAGAGGCGTATTTTAATAACAAAGTAGGTTGCTATAGCGTAGCGGAAGATCTACGTTAAGAAGAAGGACCTAATAATTAAGACCTTCCGCAATTTAGGTCTTACTCTACTAACTAATAGCTTAGAAGATACGGAAATTTAGATTAAGGACCTTCTAGGTATTCAAATTAGCGACTATCGCCGCAAAGATAACGACGGCAATATCGTTACCGCGAATAGTAACGTCGAGGCCGTTATATATAAAGAGACATTCAACCTATCTATCCCCGATTAGCTAATTAAGAAGGAAGATTATAACCTAGAATTAGGCTACCTTAACCAAATACTATCGTTCTAGCTACTACCTAAGCTTTAAGAGCAGCTTAATAATATCTATATCGACTTAATAGCTAGTAAGGACGACGAGGGTGCTATAAGAGAGTAGTACGAGGGCAACTAAGACGTAGAACATAAGTCTAATATCGAAGATTAAGCCGACTTAGGTCGTCGCTCGAAGCCGAGATTAGCTTATACCGACTGCTCTATTCTATAATACTACACTTTTATTTTTATATATTATAATATAAGACAGATTTGTAGTCTATATTTGTATAAAGCTCCGCCGCTATCGTTTGTCTAAATTGGACTATTATAGAGCGTGCTACACCGTCGTAAAGACCTGCAATAATCTAGAAGTAAAGCTTTAGCTAAAGTCGGCCGAGATTATTCCCCGCAATCTCGAGAATCTTAGATTTTGATAGTTTACTACGGGTTTCTCGACAACTATATAACCGATTTACTTCATTTTTTTTTTATATAATAGCGCGCATATAGATCTACTACCTTATTGTTCGAGAAAGTAATTGTATAGTATTGCTAGGTAAGTGTATAGAATCTAAGATTTTAGAAAGCCGCTAAGACCCCGTATACCTTAGGCAACAATAAGCCTACTACCGCCTACTACTATATATCTCTATTACTTCAAAGACGACCTAACCTATAATAACAACCTCTACGCCTTAATCTTCGCTATATACTAATATATAGTAAGCATATCGCGTACGGCGCCCTTTAAAGATACTAATTCCTCCTTTATCTACTTTATTTCCGCCTATATTTAAGTATTCGAGTTACGTTAAATCGACGGTAGGCTTAGAGTATCGCGATAATTAAGCTATAGCTAATCTAGACCCTCTCTTATTCCCCTCTAGCACTATTCCTTATAAGCTTCTAGTTAATCTATTTCTAACTGCATTCGCTAAGTAAATAGACGCTAAGGTATATACAAAATCGAGGCCTCGGATTTAGAGGCTAGCGACGACAGTAGCTCTTCTTTAACCTGCCTAGGCGGCTTAGAAGGTATATATTTAAACTAACTATATTAGTAGGTGTCTATTACTTCTGCGAGTCCTTGCCTATATCTATCTGCGCCGTTCTATCCATTATATCGATTAGTCTAGTAGGAGGTGGAAACAGGAGGAAATTAGCCTAAGAATAGGCCTAATCCTAGCCTCCGGAGAAAGCCGTTCCTAGGCGCGATCGACCCGCTATGTGTGGATAGCAATAACTACTACTTCTGCACCAAAATACAGCTTCTCAATATCTGTAGAAACATCATGAAAGGGTGGGCTTATCACTGAATCGAATGCTCCGTTACAATTAGTCCATTCTCGTGGGTAGGCCTGTCTACAGGGGTGGGCAACCTCTAAGGGGTAGGCTGGATATCGAGTTTCTGCGGTATACCACGCGACATTTCGAGTCGATGGCGTTGGAATGCCCACTTCCGCAACCCTGGTATACCCCTCTTCGCCCTCATTCACTGCTAGGAACGATATGAGCTGGAGCAAGGATGGATAGCCATTGCTGCATCGACCATTTGAAGCACGCAAGCTCTGAACGAGCATGGATATCACCATCACTTCGTCAGCCATGAGTGCTCCTAAGACGCCATCATGTTTGCAGACTCTTGCTCGCTTCTTTGCGTCGTCTCCACAACCCACGAACATGCCACAGATATCTCTTTACGATACCACGGTTCCGGTCTTGGTACGAGCATTGGAGCAGCTCCAGAAGATCTTGAGAAAGGGGGAACAATGGGTTAAAGAGCAGGGTAAACCGGACAGCACACTCTTGGAGGCGCGTATTGCTGAGGATATGCACGTAAGATATGATCTTGACCTACATTTCCTAGCTGAACTGACAGTGCCAGTAGCCTTTGACCTTCCAAGTCCAAAGTGCGACCAACACAGTGAAGGACTTTCTCACACATGTCGGTGCGGCCGATGACACGAACTTGGGCGATAACGAGAAGACATTCAGACAACTGTATGATCGCATCGACAAAACAATCCATCTCCTGCGAGCAGCCAAGAAAAGCAACTTTGTATCTGCAGTATGTCGATGCTCGCAAAAATGAGACCATTGGCTGATGACTTGTATAGGACACACAGTTCACGGCGCAGACGTGGCCATACCTCGACTTCACGGCTGCTGGATACGTCCAGACCTATACCTTGCCTAACTTCTTCTTCCACCATACTACAGCGTACGATGTCCTGAGGGCTAAGGGAGTGCCGGTTGGCAAGAATGACTTCATTGGCACGCAGGATGTCGTGAAGTGGAAGTTGTAGAGCATTCTGTCTTAGGTTACTCCTATTTGTATCTGGAATGCTTTGAGATACGACCAAAAAGTTGATGTGTTGGATCAATGGGATGTCAACAGCCAGCCTTGGCAAGGAGTCGAGGCCGCTATCGTTAGGCAGCGGGGGTGTGAATTGGGACTTTTTGTAAGGAACGTCGTGTAGGCACGAGGTAATCCAATTGCTGAGAATATCGATTGTCAAATGGCTGCTTCTCTTCTGAAGATGACAATGCATTTGTGTTCATGATAAAGAGCCTATATGCAGCAAGCTCAGACCCTGGCAAAACCCACTGGTTTTTCTTGGCATGCATGAGTAATCGAAATACCGGAGTGGACAGCAACGACTTCAGCTTCCTAAATCGTGGTCAACACATTCAACAACATGACTGCATCGTCTTGGTCTGACTTCTTTCAACATTGGCGGCGACGAGCTTTTGCAATGCGAGACTGGCCATCATGGTGCGCATGATACGACCTCGTTGCCCTTTGCAGACGCGTAGAGCAGTACCCAAGCCGCAAGGACATCGGCTGCATTGCATGAGTCAAAATCCTTGCGGACTGGTCAGAAAGCATGCATCTCTGGTTCCTGTGGCATCCGGAGTGATGACTGCGTGATGTTGAGCCATCATATGCACTTCACGGCATGCGGCTTACACTTGAACTCAGTGCCACCGAGTGCCTTCCATTGCAGGAAGCCTGACTGCAGAGGCCAATCGAAGACCAGGCGCACAAGAAGGTGTTCAGTGTATCTAGGAACATCTGCAACAACGTCGATGATCCATATGGAGACCGACGACGGACTTTGCCCTCGCATTTGGACAGCAGGAGGCTGTGCCAAACCACTCACTACCACAGATCGGTCCACCGCCCCATCGTCAGACCTAATATGCTTCTCATGGAGAGTGTATGTATCAGTGTGTCTACTAAACCGTCAATTCCAGGCACCAGACCACGCAGAAGAGCGCAGGGAATCTCACGCAAGATAGCAGAAATTTCTCCTTGATTTGCAAACTTAATAGGCCGACCTGATGATTGCAGGGCAGTGAGCCAATGTGCAAAGATTTGCCGGTCATGCTTATCGATCTTCTTGTGCGGATTGGCTGACCATTACAGTCCTCCGACCATCCAGGTGCCAACCACCTGAACTCACACAGACCGATTTATAGCCCGAAAATGCAGAAAAACAACAATTCAAAATCACGAATTCTTCAAGAGAGATCATTTGAAAAATGGCAAGAGGGAAGGCTGCTGCGAAGCCAAATGGCACCTCAAAGGTCTCGAAAAAAGCAGCTGCTCAGAAACAGCTACCAATACCACCAAAAGCTCTTCCAGTGACCCTACTTTCAGGCTTCTTGGGATCTGGAAAGACCACGCTTCTTCAGCACATTCTTCGAAGCGAGCATGGTCTCCGCATTGCTGTGATTGTTAATGACATTGGAGCGTGAGTGTTCCCAAACGGGTTGGCAATAGGGAAATACGGCTGACGACTATCCAGGGTGAACGTGGATGCAAATCTTATTCGCAACACACATCGTGTGACTAAGACAGAGGAAAAGGTCATCGCCTTACAAAATGGTTGTATCTGCTGCACGCTTCGAGGTGACTTGCTCGAAGAACTGGTCCGCCTGGCTGAGCTTGCCGAGTTTGACTACATTATTGTTGAGAGCTCAGGTATCAGCGAGCCGGAGCAAGTGGCCGAAACATTCGACTCACGCCTTGCCGAGCAAATCAGCCAGATGGGTGAAGGTCCCGAAGGTCTTGACCCTGAGACTTTGGCCACACTCAAGCGGCTGAAAGAGGCTGGTGGGCTTGAGAAGTTCGCCCGCATGGACACAACATGCACGGCACGTAAAGCCAATGACTGTGCTCTTCGATCATGTACTAACAGTCGTAGGTCATTGACGCTTTCACCATCATGAATGACTTCGAGACGACGGACCTACTTTCTGCTCGTCGAAACGATGTCACACCCGAGGACGAGAGGACTGTGTCGGACCTGATGGTTGATCAGATCGAGTTCGCAGATGTCATCGTCCTCAACAAATGTGACATGATTAGCAAGAAGCAGAAAGAGAGCGTATTGACGTTGATCAGAAAGCTCAATCATAGAGCCAAGATTGTAAGAAGCCTTAACCCTTCGTTTGCATTTCCTACTTACCAATGTTGCAGATTCAAAGCACGTATGGCAAGATTGACGTGAAAGAAATTGTCAACACCGGCATGTTCAACCTGGAAGTGGCACAGACAGGATACGGCTGGCTACAAGATCTGCACGCCATGACCATACGCGAGGTCAATGGGAAGAAGATGGTCACTCCCAAGCCTGAGACTGAAGAGTATGGTCACACTCACCTTAGAATGTCTGACAACCCAGCTGACCTTCGCAGATACAATGTTCGCAACTTTGTCTACGTTCGACGTCGACCTTTCCATCCTCGACGACTATTCGCACTCCTACACGACAAGTTCATCCTGCAGCACCCGCTCGACGAAGTAGATGAAGAGGGCGAGGAAGATGAAGACGAAGAGATGGAGGATGACGAAGAAGAGGAGGATGACGACGATGTCGATATGGAAGACCCACTTGACCTGCCAGATCCTGCAGTGATATTGGAGAACAAGAAAAAGCATCCTCTCTTTGCGCGACTGTTCCGCTCAAAAGGAGAGTACTTCCTTGCGACTCGGCCTGGCAGGGCTGGAGAATGGAGTCAAGCAGGGGCCATGCTCACACTCTCTGGCGGACGTCCATGGTTCTGCACGATTCCGCGATCGGAGTGGGAAAGTGGAGTCAAGGAGATCGATGAGCTCGTCGATCACGACATCAGCAAGGGTGGAACTTATGGTGACCGAAGACAAGAGCTGGTTTTTATTGGCGAGAAGCTCGATATCCCAGCGATCGAAGCGACGCTTGATGAGTGCCTCCTCAATGATGAGGAATATGCCAAGTGGCAGGAGATCATGATGCGTGGTGAGGGTCCTAATGCGGGATCGAAGGAGGAGCAGGCCGAGAAGGAGCAGGCCTTGGCCGATCTTTTCGATGACGGCTTTCCGGTGAGTGCTGCCTCTGCTTGTCTGTTACGTAGCAATGCTGACTTTCTTATCAGGACTGGGATAGTCCAGATGGAGAAGGCGATGAGATGGACCACGATCATGCCGACATGGCTCGTGTCGACTCGCATCACGGCCACTCTCACCCGCATACGAATGGCAAGACGAAGCATGGTGTCAGGAAAGATGGCACAGTGTACTAGATTTCAACTGGTAAGTGTACGCATTGATACTATAATAGACTCTCTTCCAGGTGCAGCCTCCTTGATGCACTGCTTGTGAATCCACTTCGGCCGTTTGCATGTGAAAGTGAACGCGCTTAGCGTTTGATGACTCACCGAAGCCCTGCGCTATTTCTTGACCCCGACTTCAGACTTCTTTCCACATACAAACCCATTTCGCTACCGGCGTCTCGACATGCCGCAGTCACTGAAGAGCGGGATTGCTGCGCCGATCGAGCACGATATGGTAAGTCTGCGACAAGCTCAGCAGGCGATGCATGCGAAGGGCGCGAAACTAAAACTGCGACAGGCGGCCACTCCCAAAGTCTCGACTCAGCTTGCAGTGCCTACTCCAACTCCTGCTGGAGCCACCATGCCCTCGACTACGTTCTTTGATCTTCCACCAGAGATCCGTAACATCATCTACGACATGGTCACCATTGCGAACACGCCATCCCCCTATAGCCCCGACGGAAGCCGCATACCCACCCACCTGCCTCCATGGAACCTCGGAATCTTGCCAACGACCACACCTGCGCTTAGCCAGGTGAACAAGCAAATTCGCCAAGAAGCGTTGCCCAGGCACCACATGATCTACGGTCTGCAACTGTTGAGTCCCTCGGTGCAAAGCAACGCCTACTCTAAAACAGCTGAAATGTGGCTCGAAGCCTTTGGCCGGACTCGAATCCCGATGACACGTAAATTTCTGTTATTCGGCGGACGCCGAGATCTCAAGATCCTGCTTCGTGGCGCACCAGACTTCCCAAAGCAGGTCAAGAAGGCGTTTCTAGTACGAGTTACGAACCCATTCGATCCCTTCTATCACTATGATGTCGAAGAGATCGAGGCATTCATCGAGCCGCGCTTGAAGCAGAACGGCGCTGGAGTGTTCTTGGATTTTGATGATGTGCTTGCTATTTTGGCAAAGGTGCGTAAGATGTCGAAGGACTGGATTCCCGTTGGATATTAGGCAGTGGGATGAATGATCGGTTCTGGGGCTTGCGTTTTTGAAAAGTGAGAAGCTACGCCGACGGAGGTTTACACAAGGAATCTTCTGATGTCGCTGCGTAATGTATGGCGTTGGGCGATCCGCTGGCACATATAGCGGGTCACAAATTCTCAGGCGGCATTCGAAGCGACAAGGCGCATGTAAATATATGGTAGGAAAGTCCTATCACATAGCGGCTGCTGCCTGCAACCACTCTTCACCTCCTTCCGCGCTAATGCGGCACGTGCATGCAACTGCTCTGCATGCCGGGTCTTGGCAACAGTTCTACACAACCTCTAACTTCCGACTTCTGTCGCCATAACAAACATCAACTATTAAACGACATCACAATACAAGTCGCACAAGCGTAAGCCTTTCACGGCCAAACTTCAAGTCGATCACTAAAGTTCCCACAGCGCGCCACGATGGCCAAGAAACGCAAGAAATCGCCAAATGCGAATGGCGAGCGACGGCGCAAGAAATCAAAGACTACCAATACCAACAAACCGCCGCCAAAAACCTTCTTCGACCTGCCCGCCGAGATCCGCAATGAGATCTATGACATGACCTCAAGCCCCTCCACCAAAGAACAAAAGGGATCCTCTTACCCTCTCAGTGGACTTATTAGCAGGCAAGGAACGAGAGCAATCAGCCACCAGCCCGTACCCGCCATCGCCAGGACTTGCCGACAAATGCGACAAGAGTTCCTCCCAATCTACCACCGCCACCAAACCCTCACCTTGGACTGGAACTTCACATGCAACGCGGAAGTCACCGAGAAGTGGTTAGACATCTTCGGCGAGACGCGAGTCCCTTTGACGAGACGATTCGTTCTGGGGATCGTTCCGCGCCTTTTCAGAAGTGTGGTGATTGATCTCGATGGTGGATTAAAGGTCTCGTTGAGATGTGAGTTGCCACGAGGGGAGGGAAAGTCTGAATATCGGGAGAAAGTGAAGGGGTTTGTGGAGAGTCAGTTGCAAGAGGGTGAGGCGGGACGGTATTTGACTGTCGAAGGCGTTCGTGCTGTTGTGGAGTTTGCGGGTGGGGTTGGAAGGGAGGGATGATGGGTTGACTTCTTCCATACATCGAAAGAATGGGGAGCTTAGCGCTGGGTTTCACGGCGATATGGAATCTGGTTTGCCCTGTAGCCTCCCGACTCGATTAGCGTTGGAATTTCCTCGAATTCAAGATTTGCGATTAGTCTCGTGTGCTGTCTCGCGTCGTGCATGAATCTAGAATGTGAATCCTTGGCGTGATGACGAGGTATGCGAAAGTCGAGCCTCGGGTTCTGGATAGCGTATACTATATAGATTAGGACGACTTGGGACGTTGACTTATGGTCTGGCATCTCAAGCAATACACCTCATTGCCAGCTGATCCGGAGAATACAGGTGTAACTAAGTCTCCCGCGTTGTAACATTCGAGTTCGGTCTTTACTCTCTGGAGCCACATTCGCTCCGTGCTGCCGGATGTAAGTGTGATCTCGCGCACTTCGACCAGAGTCTTGTCTCTGAAGTATGTCATCATGTCCTCGTAGCCCTGTTGCTCCGGCCGATGTCTCTTCTTTCCCAGTACCTTACGGGATGTTTCCCTGTCGACACCGAAAAATATGACAACTTCGCGATTGTATTCGGCATAAGACGGATCCTCCCCGTTAGCATTGCGTCTAGAAGGGACGTCTGCGACTTCTTCTGCGTCAATTATGACGGGAGTCGTCAACAGCGCTCCTGAGAGAGTTGTTAGCTTTACCAATGGATTCGGGTCGCGGCTTGCGAACACTATGCCGTTGTTCTCGCTGTAGTGGCTATGCTGTTGTCAAGACCTAATCTGTCTTGGTATAGGCCTGCAGCTCCTGTTGTTATTGTTGTTGTGAGTTGTGGATGTTGTTGTTGTTGAATGCAAGAAAGTATGAGACGAGATGAAGCCAGGTATACAGCGCCTGCGCACCGACCACCTGCACATGCAACGCATTTGACTTTCCCTGGCAGAAGTGATGTGGCTCACACGCGCAGGGATGGAGCCGTGATCCGAACTTATATCGAATTTTGATGCAAGTTGAGCGCAGTGGTGACACGGGGCCTGAGGTTTTGTAAATCAACGCAAACAGTAGAGCTACTCTAAGCCCCTAATTTAATATGAGTGCCTATATCGTAGTCTAAGATAGAAAGAAAAACATAAGTGCCCAAGTAGAGAGAGAAGCAGTTGGAACTTTTACTACCCATAGCACCGTACAAATTACAAAGGTCGTAACAGTGGTACTAATATAATCTAGCTAAGGTACTTACAGCTCGAGAAGATGAAATTCCTCGCAATAAGGAGGTTCCTCCAAAGCCTTACCTACTGAGAGGATGGGGAAGAGACAGACAGTAGTTTCCGGATCGTAAGAGAGGAGATGTCGCAAGCAGAAGTTTGAACAGATCATGAATGTCGCTGGGGGTTGATATACCTAGTGCAGTCGTGTGTACTAGTGGGTAGCTGGGTTGCAGAGCTCGAAGGTATGATTTTGCATTCGAGCAGAAGTTGAGGTGTTCGGGATCGTAAGAGGGCAGATCTGCAGATATCGTAACCAGAAATTTTGGTGAAATCATGAATGTCGCTGATGAACCTCGAAGTGCAGTCGTCCGTGCCAACAAGTCAATGCCGGGCTCAAAGGTATGATTCTGTCGATCTCGAGCCGTGGGAACCTGGCTGGTCACGGAGAGGATCGATTGCCTTAATCCTTCACAAAGAGCCCGGGACTCTCAGAGCGACGACCCTCTCCATAGCCTTCGTCGACGAACACGGGAGCTTCGAACTCGATAGCAGCGCGGACACTGGAGTCCTCCTCGCTTGCAGGTTCCCCCTTCATCGCACCAAACTTCCGCTTAGACGGCAAACCCGGAATGGTCTTGACGTGGAAGGTATACTTTCCCTGCGCATCACCAGGAATCTCCTCGGAAGCTCTCAGGTGGCAAGGATCAATCATAACTCGCTTCTTGGCAGAGGTACGCTTCTCGCCGAGCCAGAGACGAATGGGTTTGGAGTCGAGGAGTTTGACGTTTCCCAGCAATTCGTTGAGAGAGATTGGCGCCTTGAAGTTTTTGTAGCCTGGGTGCTTGTACTTGTCCCCCGTCTCCTCATCCTTGAAGATCTCCGTGGGAATGCTGATGCGGTTTGCGAATTGCATCATGTGAGTGCACAGCTTACGCGTGAAGTCACCGGGGGAGCCTTCGACCTGCTTCTGGTCTCTGCCGATGGCGCCTTGACCAGAAGCGAGAATTTCTACGCTGCCGTGTTCGTCAGCTGTGGGCTTCCATTGCTCGTGGAAATTGGTGGGGAAGAAGCCGTCGAGGATCAGGAACCAGGAGAGTCCGGAGTCGAGCATCCACTGAATGAGCTGGTACGCGTCGATCTCGGGGTTGGGGAAACCTTTGAATTCCCTGTCTCCATGTTAGTGTGGATTTTGGGGGTTGGAAAGAAAGGCGCTACACGTACCAGCGGTAGTTCTGACCATTTCCCCAGCATCGACCGTGGAAGTACACGACCATCAGTCCGTCCTTGGCTTTACCATCTGCCTCGCTCTTGAAGTACTCAAGCAAGCAGTCGCCGTCCGAGCGAGGTGGGAATCGGACGTCGTGATACGTGCAGTCAATCTTTCTCTTGCCAAGCAAGCGCATCATTCTCTGCTTCTGGTAGTGCTCCGATGTAATGACAAAGTCACCATCATCGATATCGAGCATCGCGTCCAGGTTGTAGAATTCGGTGGACGTCACGGGCGCAATGCTCGTCGTGCCCGTGGAGGGCGTTGGATCCGTCGACATTGTGTCGGATGTGTTCTGGTACTGATATGTAGTTTCGTTCCAAGTTTTGTGCTGTCGGAGGTTCTTGTACTCTACAGCAAAAGTCAGAATGAGATCGCGAAGGCATATGTCGCGCAGAAGCACAGACCAGCTTCACATCCACGCAGCCACTGCCTTATTGCAGAAGTGAAGTAGCTCAGAAATTTTGTGACTGATGGTGCAACTCCCAAGGCAATGGCACCTCGCGCAACGCCGTTATCTCGAGCCCGATGTTGCTTCAATATTACTTGGTGCCGTGGATGTCAATGAGTCTCAATGAGGTGTGCTGATGCTGATGCTTGGTATGGAATCTTGTTGTGTGTTGTAATTCGTCAGCTCGCTTCAACAGACGAACGCGGTATCGCGACCTGTAGCAAGGTATGATCAGTCGCAGCAAGTCGAATATGGAATCAACATCACGTACCCATTCGCAACTCCCAGGGCGATTGCACCTCGCGAAATGCCGTGATCTCGAACCTGATGTTGCTTTGGTATTGCCTGCTGCAATGGATGTCTCTGAATCTCAATAAAGTATGTCGTACTGATACTTGATATCGAAAGTTGTTGTTGTGTTGTGTTGTAATCCGTAAGTTAACTCAATCGACGAGCTAGAGGTATATCATCGCCTTGAGGAGCATTGACCAAAACCAGTGACCAGCAATCTCTCACCGGTGCCAATTGAGCTGAGTTGACCAGTATAAGTGAAGTGAAGTGAAAACTTACTGCCATCAAATCAGTCTCGCTGCTGCAGTGTAGTTAGAACGAAAGTCTCCAACCACACCTTTCCATTCCATCCCATCCCATCCCATACGTGCCTGACAGACCCAAAACTAAAAAGCTCCGATCCAGTCCAGTCCAGGTATATAGTCAACTGTGTATAAATTCTCTAACTTTTCAAAAAACAAACGCTATCAATAAAATAACACTAATCATATAATACAAGCCATGCCTTCGGTTCCTCTGTACAACGCCAGATTACCTCCGCCTCCGCCTCCGCCTCCGCCTCCCCATGCAATACATCCAGTAGGTAGAGTGGAGATATATGCTTCTTTTTGTGCAGCCAAAAAAAAAACGACAAGCACGAAATGTAGTAGTATCATCTTTCTTTGTACAAAAATTTCCGGCATCTTCCGGGTATGGGTATCATGGCACGCGCACTCATACATCATGAGAGATCAACTGCTGTCGTTGAGCGGCAAAGAGTACAGGGATGGAGGAGATGCTCTTCGCGATCAGCTTAGAACATGCCTCCGCCCATGCCTCCCATTCCACCCATTCCGCCCATACCGCCGCCTGGTGCGCCCTTCTCCTCTGGGGCTTCGACGATGGCGACTTCAGTGGTTCCGAGGAGCGATGCAACACCGGATGCGTCGGTGAGACCAGTTCGGACAACCTTGAATGGGTCAAGGATACCAGCGGCGATCATGTCCGTGTATTCGCCCTTGGCGGAGTCGAAACCCTTGTTGAAGTCCTTGCCGAACTCGTCCATGAGCTTGCCAACGACAACAGATCCCTCAGTGCCTGCGTTCTCGACGATCATGCGTGCTGGGCGGGTAATGGCGTTCTTGACGATGGAGACACCAAGCTGCTGGTCGAAGTTGGCAGTCTTGATGTCGTTGAGAGCGTTGGCGGCAGCTTTGAGGAGGGCAGTACCACCACCTGGGAGGATGCCCTCCTCAACGGCAGCACGCGTAGCGTTCAGAGCATCGACCATGCGGTCCTTCTTCTCACCGACCTCGACTTCGGAAGCACCTCCGACCTTGATGACTGCAACGCCGCCAGAGAGCTTGGCGAGACGCTCCTGGAGCTTCTCCTTCTCGTAGTCGCTGGTGGTTGGGTCAGCCATGACACCACGAATCTGCTCGCAGCGGACGTTGACGGCATCCTTGGTGCCCTCGCCGTTGAGAATGACGGTGTCCTCCTTGGTGATGGTGATGGAGCCAGTGGATCCAAGCATGTCTGGAGTAGCCTTTTCCAGCTTGATATCGAGCTCGTCAGTGAAGACAGTACCGTTGGTAAGAACAGCAATGTCGCCAAGGATGCTCTTGCGGTTGTCACCGAAGCCTGGTGCCTTGACAGCAGCGACCTGGAGCTGACCACGGAGCTTGTTCAAGATGCACACAGCGAGCGCCTCACCGTCAATGTCCTCAGCGATGATGACAAGTGGGCGACGGAGCTGCTGCGAAGCCTCGAGAGCGGGGACGATATCCTGAACAGCAGAGATCTTCTTCTCAGAAAGCAGGAGAAGTGGCTTCTCGAATTCCACCTTCTGGCTCTTGGTGTCGGTGATGAAGTATGGCGAGATGAAGCCGCGGTCAAATTTCATACCCTCCGTCACTTCCAGCTCATCTGCGATCGTCTTGCCCTCCTTAACCGTGATGACGCCCTCTTTTCCCACCTTCTCCATGGCGTTGGAGAGGAGCTGACCGATGTGAGTGTCGCCGTTGGCAGAAATCGTCGCGACCTGGCTGATCTCGCTGGAAGTGGTGATATCGCGCTTGTTGGCTCGGAGGTATTCGACAACGGCATCGACGGCAGCTTGCGTACCTCTTCGAAGGTCCATTGGGTTGCATCCGGCTGCGACATTCTTGACGGTTTCGGAGAAGATGGCGTTGGCGAGGACGGTCGCGGTGGTGGTTCCATCACCAGCGACCTCGTTGGTCTTGCTGGCCACATCCTGCAGTAATCGGGCTCCCAGGTTCTCGAATTTGTCCTTGAGCGTGATGGCTTTGGCGACAGTTACGCCGTCTGGGAAGAAGCGTTAGCCGAGCGAGGCGAGGCGAGGCATATAACGAGCATGGCGATAAAAGATTCGCTCTTGCTTACCTTTCGTAATCTTCGGACTCCCATAACTGCTCTCAATCAAAACATTCCTTCCCTTAGGCCCCAGCGTCGTAGCAACCGCCTTCGCAAGCGTTTCCACCCCCTGCAACAACGCCGCTCTGCCCTCAACGCCAAACTTCAATTCCTTGTGTGCGAAGCGTTGTTGCGTGAGCGAACCCAGTCTCGATGATGAACGAGCAACAGCTCGAGGTGCCGAAGAGAAAGCGCGCTGCATGGTGGTCGTCTTCTCCAGCTAAACAGAATTCGATTGATGATGGAAAACTCCGCGACTCCTCCAGATGAAAGATCGGATCAGCACTGTTGTCAGAATTGGTGATGGGAGGATGGGAATGGGAAAAAGAGATGCAGAAGAGCTTTTGCCGTGGATAGTTCTCGAACTCGAGAAGCTTGACGCTTTGATCGCGGAGAGGTCGTGCGCATCCCCGTCTTTCGCCGCAAGCCGAGAAACAACCGATACCACGGGACGGGACGTATTGACGCACATTGATGGACGATGCAATGATTGTCACCTGCGACGATGATTGATCTCTTATGCCGTGTACATCTAGCTATTGCTACGCCCAACATCTGTTCTTCGTAGCAATTTCTCAGGATATCTTCATCCCGATTTTTCACCCTCAGCCTGCCTCTCCCTCTGCCTCTCCCTCTCCACCCACCACTCTCTCAACTCCCGCGCCCTCTTGCGTTCGCCTTCAGCAAATTCCACAGGCGGGCCCTTAACTTCCTCTCGAACCCCACCAGAAGAACCAGGCCTCTTTCTTGTTTGACCTTCCTGGCTGCCGACCTCACTGAATCTCCAAACAAGCCAAGCACTTGCATCGCTACTGAGCAGATACGGGCGTCTCTTACGACTCTTTACCGAAAAGCCTCGCAGCAAGACCACGTCTCCTGGCGAAGCAACGGGAAGTGTAGCATGCCAATGACGATACACCTCAACACGAACTTCTCCGAGCTCATCGGCGTCGACTTTGGAAGAGAGCGATTGGTCTGTGATCTTGAAGATGGTGAAGAAGTCCTTGGGCCCGGACTTGGCTCGTTCCGGCCTGCTAGAGGCGTCTGTAACGAGAGCGATGACATCAACGGTATTGTCTGCGCCGGGCTGACTTGAAGGGTTGAGCTTCTCTTCGATGTTGGAAAGAGGGTAGTAGTATGACTTGGTCGTGATAAGGCCATTGGATGAGCTTCGTCGGAGGAGATCGCCCTTGTCGTCGTCTGCATTCAGTGAAGTCTCACCGGGCTCGGGCTTGTCATCCGCCTGTTTTCTGGGTGAACGACGAGGTGAGAACCAAGCAGAAATGACTTCGGGCACTTGCCCAAGACGGGAGGTGAAGGATTTCCGCGCAGGAGTCATTGCCGGCGTGCTCTTGATCTGCTTGACTGCTGCACCCTGGTAATCATTCTCAAGTGCAGCCTCCTCCTGTGACATTTGCTTCTTCGCCGTCAATGATTTCTTCGGAGGCGGGCTGATCTCCTCGACAGACTCTTTATTGGCACGCTTCATCTCGTCTTCAAGCTGCGACTCAGCTTTTGACTTGCGAGATAATTTCCGAGTGTTTGTCTTGTTCGAGGTTGATGCTTCAAACGAAGTGAGGAGATCAGCACTTTTACCCGTCACTTCACTTTCAACAGTTGACTTTCTAGGTGAGCGTCGAACCGGAGTCTTCTTGGCAGGACTGAGTAGGTCACTTTCCATTGATACCGTTACACTAGGTTGGAGAACGGCGGCGTCAGGGGTGCTAGGTCGTGGCTCATCAACAGCCTGATTGGCGTTGTCTTCGGCGTCCTCCTGCGATTGACTTGTTGCTTGCGATTTCCGAGGCGATCGTCTGACAGGCGTCTTACTGTCTGCGCTAGATTCCGTCCGGCGGCGAGTTCTCTTCGTGATTGTCTTCTTGTTTTCGGTAGGCTCCTGCTCTGCAACCTCTTCGACGACAGCCTTCAATCCCTCGTTTGTCACCTCCGGCGTCGGCGGAACGAACGATGTGGCTGGAATCTGTGTCTCAAATGGCTGCGACTCTAGATCCTGCGGACTGTGCGGCTGTTTGATTTGCGTATGTAATGGCTGCGACTCCAGCCGATGTTGCGACTCTTCCGGAGTGAAGGGAAGCTCGGATCCTGAAGTCGCTTGCTTTCCAGCAGCGTCCGATTGCGGAGTCTCGTCAACAAAGGACGACGCAGCGACTTGTACCTGCGGATGATCCGGACCAGACGTTGATGATTGTTGAGTCAGTTTCTGCGCCTGAGCGCGCGTGAGTCGTTGAAATCTAGTTGCAGAAGCTTCACTCGAAAAGCTCACTTGCTTCGAACTGTCAACAATGCGAGAGATCACATCTTCCTCCGTTTGTCTTGCTTCATCAGAGCCGCGTTCGCCAGATTCTTCCACCAAGACTTCTGCTAAGCTGGCACTGGCATCGGCCATCTCAATGTCTTCGGGCGGTCCTTCAGGGGCCGCGGCAGGTGAGCTGGACTCGATATCGATTATCTCGGGCACAGTAACGAGGTCCTGGCTGTGCTCCATTGTGGGAGACTCCTGCATCTGCTGTGCGAAAAAGCTTTCCTGCTGCGATTCTGGCCAAGGTTGATCTTGAAGAGTCTCAGGAATGAATGGCACAGTGGGCGACAGCGTCTCAAGGTCTGCAACATCCTCTGATGGAAGATCTGCTTCTGAGGACATCGTCACAGGTTCCAGGAGCTGTGTCGCTTCTGGAGTAGGCACGACTTCGGTACTCCCGTCAGCTGACTGGGCGTCTGAGTCGTCGTCGTTCACTGACTCGTCGTCATGTGCCACGGAAGGATCATGACGAGGGTCTACTCGGTCTGCAGTCTCAGCGTCTTCAGCTTCGGCATCACTGCTTGAGCCAAGATCAATGATCTCAACCTTAGAAGGTCTTGGCGCTGTGCTGGTTGGAGGCACTGCGACTTTCTGCGACCCAAGCGCACGTACTGGAGCTGAGCTAGACGGAGGAGCTTCTTGACGAGGCCGGTCGATGAATGGATTTTGCTGGTGCTTGGATTCTTCCTTGGTCGCATTTTCTCGTAGTTGCGGTAGGTAGGTTCGAGCCTGGTTGCGAGATGCTGGTGGTGCTGGCTCTGCAAAACCTCGCGGACTTTCGTTACTGCTTGCAAACTTCTGCTCGATTGAAGAACCTTGGTCTTTTTCTGTTTCTGCGGGCGGCTTGGTGTGCAGCTCAGTAGTAGTCACCTCAGTTGGCGGAGCACTTCCCGTACCAAAGCTGCTAGCAAGTGCAGCATCGAGCTGAGACTCATGGACTGTATGGTCACCATCATCGCGCGGTGGAGACCGTGCTTGCTCAGCCAGTACATTTCCAGAAACTGCGGTTTGAGCTTGCATATGAGCAGCCTCATCGACCTGCATATTGTCATTGTCATATGACGGTGGCTGAATGTGTACTTGGCCGGCCGAGCTTGATTTATCATTTGTTTTAAGTTCTCGGACAGTATCCTCAGTTTGGCCGATCTGAGTGTCAAGCCTTGCTCGTGCGATGGATCCAAATGAAGTAGGTGTCTCAATCACAGGCTCTTTTGATGCTCGTGATGGCGAGCCAGATGACTGGAGGGCTTGCTGCTGCTGCTGTTGTCTCTCCTTCTCAGGTGAAGGGCTGACTCTAAATCCGAAGAGGCTGCCGTAGGTCTTCTTCATAGTCCTGTCCTTTTCCGACTGTGGCGTAGGTCTAGTCTCAGGCGGGGAGGATGTCCCATCAAACCCGAAGTCGAAGCCAAAGTTCTTCGGTGCTGGCGGCGCTGGGGTTCTGGGCAGCTTCGCCGCAGCAGGTGTTACTTGCGCAGCTGGCTCTTCGGATCTTGTCTTAACCTCTTCATCTTCGTCAACCTCGGACTGCTCTGACTCCTCTATCACGATAGGAGCCTCCATACTCCGAGTGCCCATGTCGATCATCGCCTCCAAGGCGTTGTCCGCAGCACGGCTTGCAGCCTGGAGTTTAGGAGACATTGGCTGCCTTCCAGCTTTGTGTTCAGCCTCATCGTCCGCGTCGTCTGCCTCATCAGAACTTTCCTCTGGCTCCTCTCCCATGTCCACAATGACTTCCTCAGCTTCGTCCTCGTGTACAATGTCTTGCTCAGAAGGCTGTCCGCGAGGCACGGGGTTCCCATCTGCATCAGCGGCGAATCCAGCTCGTGGTCTTTGAGCAAAGTCTCTCTCCTTGACTCCCTCGCGTAATCGACGCTTTTCAGCTTCCCTCTGAGCAACTTGGGTATAGAGTTGCTCCAACTCCTCATCCTCCTCCGTATCGCTCAAATACTGTGGATGTTGAGATTGTACTTGATCAAATACACCAGAGGTCCCTCCGAAGTGATATGATTGTCTATCTTCGTCCTCGTCATCATCGCGTATCTCAGTATCCGGTGTAGCTACTGTGTCACTATCGATTGAGTGATGAACACGGCCTCTGGGCGCTTGACTAAGTGCTGTTGGGAAGCCGCCCGAATCAGTGCTCTGGGAAACTTCGATAGCGTCTCCAGTGACAACTGGCTGGCCAGACTGGAGCTGCTGGCTTTGACGCGCAAGGGCAGCTATGGTGGGATTGATCTCTAGCACGGCACTTTCATCGCTGGTGGTTTCATGACTGGTCTCAACGCTTTGCTGACGTTGCCTGATTTCATGCTCTGTTGGCACAAGCTCTGCAGGTCTTGCTACACGTAAAGGAGACTGCTGAGCTTCCGTTGGGAAGGGTGAGGGTAATGGTAAGCTGTAGCCAGGCACAGGCCGCAGCTTCGGCGTTGAAGGACCGCTCTCTTTCGTGCCATCTACCTGCCGGGAAGGCTCGCGAAATGGGTCCTCTGGCATTGGCAGCTTCGGAAGTGGAGGCGGCTGCATTGCCGCTGGGTGGTGTTTGTGGGAGGTGAATCCGAACAACCGTGATTCTGCGCTGGACTGTGCATCGGACACGTCTGTATGGGAAGTATTGAGCGACGCGTTCTCTGCCTGTTGCTGCGCCGCCTGCCGTGCGGCCTGGTCTGCGAGCGCAGCTGCAACCTGCTTCGCAAGGTCATCCTCGTCTTCGTCCCTCGTTTCCGGCTCCGTAACTTCATTCTCAACCTCATGGAGCGTCTTCTCCGGACTTGGCGTTCTATTCGTGAATCTCCAGTCTCTCACGTCGCTGATTCTCTGCTTCTTCTTCGGCCGGCGCTCCTCTTCCTCCAACTCTCTCTCAATATCTTCCACAGGATCCGACGCCTTCTCTTCCGGCTTGAAGAACAGACTTCCACCTGACAGCCTCTGTCTTTTCACGAACGCCGGACTTGAATAAATCGGCGTCAGGCTGAAACCTCCCAGCGCAGGAACTCGTGCGTTTCTCGCTGGAGTCTCACGCCGCGGCTGTTCTTCTCCTTCTTCTTCCTCCCGGGGCGGGGTACTCTCGTTCACCACGATTCGCTGATTGATATGTTCCGTTGCTCCAGCCTTTTTGAGAATTTGTAGACCCAGCTCCCCGCGATAGACCAACTCGCCTTCGACGCTCTTTCCCGGCGTATTGACATTGCTCGCCTCCGCTGCCCAAGTCGCGCCATGAAGCTCGAGTAAGAGCTCATCGCCAATGCTTACTTTGCCGTGTGCGACTGCTGTTGCACTTGGCCCGGTAAATCGAACACGTACTTGGCCTCTATGGTTTCGTAAGCGAAAGTCCGGGTCGGCGAGCAGCAGTGCGCATTGCTTCGTTGACGAGCTGTACGGCCAGATCAGTGAGATCTTGGCACGAATGCTCTTGGATGCCGGCGGTGACGCCTGTGGGCTCAAGGCCTGTATCGCAATGGTCGAGTCCGCCATGTTGCCGCCACTCAATTACTATGCGTTGCACTCATCGCTGTCGTTCAATCATTGTTGGATAGCAGAGCTCAGGCGTCAATGCAATGCGTCTGCGGACTTGTGTAGTACTGTGTTAGAACCGGGGTGGAGAGGCTTCAGTCGCGTGGGTGAGTGCTCGGCCTTGCAAAACCTTCAGCAAACACCAAAACGCCAACAGTTGCGACTCGACGGGCGGGAGACGTGGTGATACGATGTCCAGTCGCAAGTGCCACACCAAATCACGCGCCTGCAACTATCCGTGGTGTGCTGCGGCATACCTTCCTGTGAATGGGAAGCACGAAAGTTTGTTACTCAGCAGGAAGGGAGCTCGGCCTCAGGCCAATTCTTGGTATTCCTATAGACATAACCAGCCGCAATGCAACTTCAAGCATCGGCAATAAAACCCCAGCGTCTAGTCTAGCCATATTGCGAAGACTATGCGATGCTCCTCCCTTCCAAAGTGTCTTCTCATCTCTTCGGACTCCTGAATCCAGCCCCTTAGCGATAGAAAGGACAATGAGCTATTCAAACACATCGCTTGTTCTCGAGGCCATCTTTAAGGCGTCAGCGATGTAAAAATCCAGAGAAATGCTACTCACCACATAGGCTTTGGAATCCTCCACTCCATTGGGTCGACAATCGGCTTCTTCTTTGCCAATTCATCTCGGGCACGGCGCAAAAGCTGAACTCGGTTCAACAAGCCCGTGGCATCTTCAAAGTCGGCTGACCCTCTCTTGCTCGGATCCAGCTGTAGACAACTTACAATGAAGCCTCGGAGACCAACTGTGCGATAGCCTGGAGCGATATCGAAGTCCGCAATATCGCCGTCGATGGGGAACTCCATCCAACCCTTCATTCTCGCTGCGACATACATGATCTGACCTGCGGCCCAGATATCTGAAGGCGTCTTTCGAAGCCGCGTCATCTCGAAGAATTTCTCAAGATGTTCCGCACAGAAGCTTGCAGGGTGGTACACGGCGACGTCCTCAGGCGCATGGAACTCGAGCGTTCCTGGCAGAACTTTAGGATCTGTATCGCTGGCGAACTTGGCCGTACCGAAGTCCCCAATTACGATTTCGGGCATACCACCTAGATACGGCCGCGTCGCGTGCCAGCGCAAGAAAATGTTATCGGGCTTCAGGTCGCCATGTACGAGGGGCTCATGATCCTCGTCCTGAGTGTACTGGCCAGTCTCGGCGTTGTGTCGAAGACCATGATGAAGGAAGGTGAGACCGTCGAAGAGCGAGACGATGAGGTGCAGAGGAAAGACTTCTGGTACGGCCTTCTGGCGCTTGGTCCACCAATAGTGGATCTGGTATTGAAGGTCGCCACCCTTGCAGTTCTCAAACCACAAATTCCACTGACCCGGCTGTTCAGATTCTTCTTCCGCCACGATGAGATCGATGATGTTCGGATGCGGACGCAGACGAAGCAAGACCTTCGCTTCAACAGGGTACTTGAAGTTCCCAACGACTTCGTCTGCAGCTTGGGTGGCCTCCTCAATTCGTTCGGGATAGTTCGATTTCACTACGAAAGTGGCTTCTGTGGTTTCTGAGTCCAGGATGCGGACTTCGCCGTCGGGTGATGCGTCAAGGGTCCTTCGGACGTCGAACTCATTAGACATGGCGATGTGACGCTGCATGGCGCGCTCCTGCTTGAGGCGGCGGAAGAGATCTGGTGTTGTCTTGAGAATGACGATCGGGCTGGGCGGTGTCGCGGGACCTGACATCTTATCGGCGGCCATTTGTGATAGTCGCCCAATAAGACGTAAGGTGAGCATGGTGTTTTGCGATTGCTGATTCTCTACAGAATGAGGCACATGTATCCATGGCAGGTAGAGATCGTCGCGTTGATATAGGAGTTGTTGCATGGCTGCCTGGACTCCAAGTGAACTATGGCACAAGCATGTGTTAGTGACGGATCTTCACGAGCAGGTGAGTGAATAGCTGATGAGCGCCTTGGAAGCCTACAAGCTGATCTCACATGCAGTCCGATTCGCATGAGCAAGCTGATATCCCTTACGTACTATCTGCCTGCAGTGAATGACAGTACCAACGTGGTAAGCGCTTTAATCCGTGTGACTCTGGCGTTCTGCGCGCAACCGCATACCGACTTCATAGAAGACGAGCTGGCGAAACTACGACCCCTGTCAACAGATAAGAGGGACAAGGCAGTAACGCTTGTGATCGAAAGACTCCAAGCGCTGTGCCGCCTGCTCATCACCTTGACAGGTGTGAGGTCTCTTTGGAACAGGATGGATGGCACGCCAAATGCCAACGTCTTCCCTTGTGATGGCCCGGCATCGAGTCTTGGCCCCAGTGTTCAGGGCGGCTTTGCAGGTCGGCTCCAAATTTGCTTTGCACAAGAAGATTTACGATCCGAGGAGTATGGATACTTGACACCGTACTACGACACCTGCTTTGCTTTGCTTTTCAGCCTGAGGTGAGCGTAAGGTCTGATTGATCAGGCCTCTGAGCACTCTTTCTGATCGTCGATCCTGTCATAATCGGAGGGAATTCGAGGTGCCGCGTCGATGAGATTTGGGGAGCACGCGGCTTCCATGAGTGCGATTCGCAATGCCAGTGTTCAGCTGAGGACTGACGCATAGCGCGCAGGCCTAGACAGCCTACAGCACTGCGTAGCGGCGCAGTCGCCTAGCGTTGCTAGCAAGAGATTATTCTTCAGTCTTTGCTCAGCCGCATCTCGTTTGGGAGAAGTGACTCAGAAGTCTGAAGAGTAATTACGGTTGCACGCTGCTGACTCAAGCCACGCTAAGACCAAAAGAGATTAGACGAAAGCTTGGCGACGTTAAGTTGCTCTTGGCGACTCCTCCCTGGAATGTGATCAGAACATCTACCAAGCCTTGACGTTCTTGCTTCATCACCAATACATTTCCATCTCCCTTCATATCATAACCCATGGACTGAAGAAGTTCTCCAAATTTGGATTAGCTTCAAGCTTCAAGTTTAAGCCTCAAAACAAGCTTTCGACCCATCTCACTTCAGCCTCCACAAACCACTGGCTCCGCAGACTGGACGCCGTATTCTAGTCAAGCGCTCGCTGTTGACGACTGTGAATCATTGGCTCACTATACGAGCGCCCCAGACGAGATGGTCCTAGCAGAACTCAGGACGCGTGGAAAGCAATGTTTCCCTCCTACATAAGAGACTTCGTCGACCGCCCCGGGTTGAATTTACTCCTACCTTAATCAATACAATCACCACTCCAGCGAGAATGCGCAATCTCATCACAGCAGCGGCGTTCATCATTGCTGTAGACGCGACAAACGTGTCCTATTGGCAACCAACAGCCGGAACGCCATGGCAAATCATCCTGTCACAAGATCTGCCAACACAATGTCCCGACGGTGTCAAGGCAATAGACGGAGATCTGGAAGCCAACGACGCGTCGACGTGGAGTAGCCTCAAAGCCTCTGGCTGCAAGACCATATGCTACTTCTCTGCTGGATCATATGAGGACTGGCGCCATGACGCCAACCAATTCAACAACAGCACTGATCTCGGTGCACCTCTAGGCGGATGGCCGGGAGAATGGTGGCTCAACACCAAGTCTGCGAATGTCCGCCGTATAATGCAACAGCGTCTCGATACCGCAGTCAAGAAGGGCTGTGATGGCGTCGATCCCGACAACATAGACGCATACGAGAACGATGGCGGCGGACTGGGCCTAACACAAGACGATGCGATCGACTATATCACTTTCCTAGCTGGCGAGGCTCACAAGCGTGGACTTGCTATGGGGCTCAAGAATGGAGGCGATATTGTGAGCAGCGTGCTCAATATCACCGACTACGAGGTCAACGAGCAATGTCAGGATTACGATGAATGCGACAAGGTGCGGCCCTTCATCAATGCCAACAAGCCAGTCTTCGCAATCGAGTACACCAAGAAGGATAGCACGATCCCAGATCAGAGAACCATCGACCAGATCTGCGATAATGATTCGGCAACAGGCTTCTCGACACTGATTAAGCATATGAAACTCAATGATTGGAAGATCTCATGCAATAGCACGACTCCCGCAAATTCGACTAGCAGCTCGCCTGCAGCAACTCAGACCGCCGACTCTGGTGCCAGTACTTGGCATATGGCTGCCGGTGCACTAGTGCTGTGGTCTGGCGGCGTATTGGCACTTCTGATGTATTTGTAGATACGCCCAATGCTACTCCCTGCCCTCAATCTCTCGAAATATCTACCAAAAGAACGTCGCGTTTGGACCCGACCAGGCAGTCTCTCCGTTGATGTGCCCATGCGACGCTCGGTGCCTTTCCTGATCACCCAAGCGATAACCAGCTGGGCGAACCAGAAGAGCAAATTGCAGATCTACGAAGTCCATTCCGACTTAAGCTCAGATTCGACTTGTTGAAGCAGCGCAATCTCGTGAGATTTCTTAAGCAGTTTGCAGAGGCGTATGACAGGTCAAAGGGCGTCGTTGACGGCTTTTTGAGCTGAGCACGGTGCTCAAAAAGTGGGCGCTCGATCGAAAGGTTGGGGTAGACATAGTGAATGAAGAGCAACGGCATAAACACACTCGAGCCTTTCTTTCAATTCACGCCTTTGGAGTCGAATCTTCTCGTGTGATCTCGGGTGGAGATTCCGGCACGAACATTGTTGTGAGACTGTGCGTCTTTCAGGTGAGAATTTCGAACTTCACTCAATTCGCGCTAGCGGGAGCTTCCGACATTAACTTCTTACCCTTGCACATGCGATTGATGCAAACAGCAAACGTGCAGCAAGTGATAGGCACACAATACCTTGGGCTCTCATTCACTCGTTCGACGCACGGGAGCTAACTTCGGCCTGCTAGTAATTGTCAGTGCTTGCCGCCTTTCTTTCACTAGCGCCGTTTGCTCTGGATATTTAAAGCCACGCTTCGACTTCAACCTGCAACTTCTAACACATACAACCTTTCAATATACACCTCGATCGTACACACTGCAAGCACCTTCCTCACCCGCCCTTACAACCTTCCCATAGATTTCCATAGCCAAATTCAGCTACCATATATAGTAGCGACGCCAACATGGACGGTCAGCGCCAACCAGTTACCTGCAAGCACTGTAAGAGATTCGGCACTCACTTCGAGGAGTGGTGCAACAAGAATCCAGCCGGCCGGTTGTACGGCAAGTCGATCGATCAAATCTATACCAAGCCCAAGATGTCGGACGTCGTCAACAGCAGTGGCTATCGAGTCGGCCGGCCCATGAGCAGCGACTCGAGCTCCGGAGTTGCAAGCAGGTGAGTCTAGCTATGTCATCAAAAAGAAATCTTGAAATACTGACCTGGTCCAGCTCCGCAGCTACCCCCTCGACATCTGCACTAACGAACAGTCTGGCCCATGCGCCACGTCGTCGCAAGCTGTCCGAGTACGCTGCCGGCTATTCAGCTGGCTATGCTGCTGGTCTTGCTGCTGCAAAGACCGCCGCCGTCAACGGTCAAGTTGCATCTCAGCCAAATCAAGTCAAGTCAAACAAGAGCTTGAAAGAGCCAGGGTACGTGTATCGAGCAGTAAAGTAGGTCAGCTTCACTAACTTTTCCCTTAGTCAAATTCCATCCCGTCGCCTTCCAGAACCACCTCTGCGTCAGAGGCTAACGTCGAGAAGAATTGGGGCGACTTTGGAACATCTGAGGCTGCTCGTCTTGCTAGCTACAAGACTCCAGCGAGCTGGGAGCATCAGAAGGCCACTATTACCGAAGCCGTCCCCAAGGAGAACGAACATCTGGTGAAGGTCTCATACAAGGAGAAGTTCCACCAGACATTTGGCTGGAAGGACGAAGTCATGGGCGGTCCGCGAGACCGCAAGGCTCCCGCGCCTGTCGCGCCTGTTGCACCTGTCGAGGTCCCGTGGAACGCCGCTGCACTTCCAAACGCGACCAATCCTGCGGCCAACGGGCCACCACCACGCCCTCGCACTTTGCCGCCACACCTTCGAGCGGCCAAGCGTGAGGCGGCAGAGGGTCGCGGCAAGCAGCAAGCAGGCTGGATCTCAGCCAAGCGTTCGCATACAGTCCATACCGCTTGGACGTAGTTCATATTTTTTCGGCGTTTTTAACAGCATAGAGTGTTTAAAAAAGTGATTCACGAACAGGAGAGAATCATCGAACGGTCAAGTAGCGTCAAGATCGAGAGTGGCGCTGACCAATGCATACGGTATAGACACGTCAATCACAGTATAAGTAGAGGATAAAGCAATATCCCACGGTGAATCGACTCTCAACTTTCTGACTCTCTTTCAAGACCCCTAAGAGCTAGAAGAAGCAGGAAGAGCACGTCGCTTAAGGCATAGCGAAGGAGAAGGAGGCCGCAACTACTATAAACTTCAAGGAGAACTTCAAGCAGACTTATAGCTTTAAGGATGGTGCTCTCGGCGGTCGACGCAACTACCAGCCGCCTCTCCTTAGCAACACCACTAACTCGGCTGCGAATGGGCTACCGCTACGGGCCAAGACGATTCCACTACGCCTCCGAGCTAGTCAGCGTGGATGAGAGCTTTGCGCCGTTACCTCACCTGACCTAGCCACCGCCCTTCTCTTACATAAATTGCAACTTCGCTTTTTATCGACCGGCGAGAGCTACAGTCCGACCGAATTCAGGAACACTTCGATAAGGTATACTCCTCAGCACTAGGACTTCGACATGGCTGAACCATAGCGCGATCCAATAGATTACAACATGTCGTCGCCACCACGTTCGTCCTCTATTCATCCGGATCAAGCACAGGCGCCATTAAAAAAAACGCCCTCCTACGAGCACCTCGAATCCGGCCATGCCTTACGGCTTAAGTCCGTCAAATGACCAAGGCAATACGGTATAGAAAATCCAAGCATAGGTAGAGAATAAAGCAATATCCCACAGTGAACCGGCTCTCAGCTTTGTGAATATAAGAATGCGACTATCGCATTATGGTCCGGTCTATAGATTGCCGCAGAAGAGAAGAACGTGACATGTGTGTAGACTTCACCTCATTCGGCGCCAGTGAAAAATTCCGCGCATAGAACCGTCCTGCGTGTGCCTCAATCTTCGGCACTACTCAACATCACACAATCGCTCACTCTAGATAGCTCCGCTCACGAAACCAAACCTGTAACTAAGAAGTCGCCCAATACAACAACTATCACTGCATAAAACGACTACGAACCGTTTGATCTCGGCCTAGAAACAAAATAGAGCGGAATATATACTATTTCTAACTCGACCTCATCGCCGTATACATCGCCAGCCGCTGAATTGGAGAATGAGTTGCCAGGTGGAACAAGAACCTCATGGGTTGATAGGCGACGTTCGCCGTTTGGGCTGGCTGGACTGCTGACGAGCAACAGCTTCGACTCCTGTCGAGTGGGCTGATTAGCTGGTATTAGGCAAGCTACACCTTCGACTCCTGGCTCTTTCTAGTAACCGAATCAACGAGCTTAAACTTCGGTTTCCGGATTATATAGGCGCGATATAATATATATACTCTACTTTTACTTTATCTACTATATATACTTCTACTTCCTTTACCTCTTATAAGTAATAGATATATAGCTATATTCTTAAGCTCGCGATTATTAATACTATCTATTAAGCGTTATAGCTAGATTTTATACGACTTCTACTAGTATAGGATATCCGTACTACTAGCTTCGAGCGATAATATCGTATATATAATTTCAATCGATATTTTGTAATAGATAGCTATATAGAGTATATAGGCTCCTTAAGAATATTATATAAAGCTCTAAGCAATATCAAAGTCTAGATACATTGTAATCGACTATTGTGATATGCCGTATACGCACGAAGGAGCCGAAATCATCGCATTCGTATCGCTATAACACTGGCTCCGGTCTCTAAGCCATCCAGCTCTACATGGCTGACTGGCGCAAGAGGCGGAGCAGAGCTGAAGGCTAAGCACCAATCCCATTTGTCAGACATCGATCTTGTAGTGCTTGGGCACACGAGTAGCACTGACTGGGAGGACTGAAATGGATGGCAAAACGGAACATGTGAAGACGACAGGCACCGATGACGAGATCTTATCTCAGGCACCAACTTCCAGGAGGACGGACGTCGATCACGAGCCTACTGTATCTTCAGACGAGACTGCACCGCCAGCATATCAAGAGGTCGTGGATGAGTGCGCTCTGCAGTACGCGGCAGCAACTGGCTTCCCGAGAAAGTTCAATCTCTACTGTAGTCTGTCGGACAACAAGACGTCTTGGAAGAGCTCTAAAGAGGGCAAGCATGCATGGCTGCAAACACGGCAGCGTCTGCATCAGGTCAGCACCCGCCTCCGCGAGCAGTTGATCAGTAGCGATGTACTCAAGGCGATCAAGTCCGATGCTGCAAACGTCCGCCTTGCATTGTTTCCATTATCATCCGGCCAGGCTCAGCAAGGAACTGGTCGCAGCACTTGTGATCGAGAACGCCAGCACAGGCTGCTGCTGTCCGAATCTCTGGGAACAGGACCGATGGGAGTGACCGGGCTGCATGCACGTATCCGAGGCACTAAGCGCAATCGTGACCTGGTCACTGGGCTTCGACACTCCTGTGCGTGCGTCCTCGGTGCTGGCTGATAAAGCTTCAATCTTGATACTGCGTCTCGACACACGGATACCGCCGATTGTGCCCTGCGCGGGTCCTGGTTTTGGGTATGACCCACGACGGCAAGCTGCATCAAGTACGCACGCACACATGCTGATTGTTGTGGTATGGTAGCTCATGGCGAGGCAGCTACACACCAACCTGGCAATGGATGGATCTCAGCTATAGGATTGTGATGCCCCAACCATCCGTTCCAGCCCTCGGCCGCGCAAGAATGCCTCAGACGGCCTCCAGCCAAGCGATTGCCAGCGGCAAGTTCGGTACAGTACCTGCATGAACACATACCGGCACACGGCAGTATTCGGTGCGGCCCTTGCACAGCCTGTCAAGCATGTCGTTGACTGTCAGAACCTGAGCACACAATGCGACGGACACCACTCTGTCACATGCACGCCATCAATCGTCAACAAAAACGCTTCCCTTGCGACGTAAACAAGCCACCGCAATTCGACTGCGAAGTCCGATGCGCTCGGCCGTTTCGCAAGCGCAGGAGACGCCGAAAAAATGAATATGCGGGCGAGTGTGGCACAAAGATATGGTCGCACAAATGCGGGCGGGACGGTGCACATCTTTTGGGATTTGAGTACTTCTAGAACCAAGTCGCACTTGACGACCAAGATACTCGCGGAATGCTACAAAGTATTTGTGCCTGTCGTCCGTACCACTTGGGCTTGCATTATACAAGATGCATGATGTGTTCGAGAGCGTGTGGAGACCTCCTGCGTTCGCTGGCCTGCTTGGCTTGCTGGACTTTGCCGGGCTTGCTGCTCATATCAGACCGTCTTCGCCATACACCACGCTCTGGTGCTCGCAGCAGCTCTTCCCATTCCCACTTCGCCGACCGCAGCGATGATCTTCCGAACGGCTGTTGCGACAGCCCTTCTTGCACGCCTAGTATCCTCGACTCCACTAGCAGACATTGCGGAACGGTCGCCACCGAACGGTACTCAAAGCTATCCAACTCCCGCCTCATATCCTCCCACATCCTCTTCCTCTGCCGCCGCGGCCAGAGGCTCATACAAAACGGCCTTGTACTTCCCGAATTGGGACATCTACGGCCGAAATTACCAGCCAGCCGATCTTCCTATCGATCGCCTCACCCACGTCCTCTACGCCTTTGCCAATTTACGACCTGAGACTGGCGAAGTCTACTTGAGCGACACATATGCCGACCTAGAGAAACACTACTCCAACGACTCATGGAACGATGTCGGCAACAACGTGTATGGCTGTGTGAAACAGCTGTATCTGCTGAAGAAGCAGAATCGACACATGAAGGTCATTCTGAGCATCGGAGGCTGGTCGTATAGTAGTAACTTTGTCGTAAGCAGAGCCGGCATATCGTATACTTCAACGCTGACATCCTACCCAGGGCGCCGCCGCCACCAATACGAACCGCCAGAACTTCGCAACCACTGCCGTCAGACTACTCATGGACCTTGGCTTCGACGGTCTGGACATTGACTGGGAATACCCACAAGACAGCACCCAAGCCAACAACTGGGTCCTCCTCCTCAAATCCACCCGCGAAGCCCTAAACGCCTATGCCGCCACCCTCCCCAACAACCCGCACTTCCTCCTAACCGTCGCCTGCCCGGCCGGTCCCTCCAACTACAAAAAACTCAACATCCCCGCCATGGACCAATACCTCGACTTCTGGAACCTAATGGCCTACGACTTCTCCGGCTCCTTCTCGACCGTCGCAGCCCACAGCTCAAACCTCTACCCTTCACCTTCAAACACAAATTCCACCCCTTTCTCCACCGACGCTGCCGTAAAACACTACCTCTCCCAAGGCGTCCATCCCCGAAAACTCCTCCTCGGAATGCCCTTATACGGCCACGCCTTCGTCGGAACCGAAGGCCCTGGCCTCCCATACACCGGTGCGGGAGAAGGTTCCTGGGAACCTGGAATCTGGGACTACAAATCCCTCCCTCCCACAACCTCTCAAGTCCACTACGACAGCATCATCGGCGCGAGTTGGAGCTACGACAAAAATTCCCAAACTATGGTTTCTTACGATTCCCCGGAAATGGCAGAGCAGAAATTGCGGTATATTTTTGAAAGGAATCTGGGCGGCGCGATGTGGTGGGAGGCGAATGGGGATGGGAATCGCAATTCTACGGGGAACAGTTTGGTGGAGATTGTGGTTGGTGGGTTTGGGAAGTTGGATGGGAGTAAGAATGTTTTGAATTATCCGAATAGTCGGTATGAGAATCTGAGGAGGGGGATGCCGGGGGATGTGGTGTCGTATTCGTGAGGTCAGGGAGGAGAGAGGGGGTGCGATGGTGGAATGGTTGTGAAGGGGCTCGAGCGTGGTTATGAAGAAGAATGCAGAGGATTTAGAATCTATCAAGTATAGGTTTCGTTGAAGATGACGGACGTCTCATTAGAGTCTCGAAAGAAAGAAAAACTTTCATACATACATGCTCACATTCTATTTCAACATACACACCTGTCATCCTCCAAACCCAGTCTTGTCGCAACCTCACAGAACACCAAATCGTCCTGTAGCAACAACTCCGTCACATCATCTCATCATCCCACATCCCTTCAATGAAAATCTAATCCCTATCATCCGGTCCACCACCAAGCGGTCCACCTCCAACTTTGCCTCTTCCAGGCCGTGGTGGATGATCATCATCATCGTCGTCGTCGTCCCTATCTGGTCGCTTCGGAGGGTTCTCGTCATTATCCCGGTCATGTTCTTCAAGATGATCCTCATCATCATCTCTATTATGTGCTTCAAGACGATGCTCATCATCATCATCATCATCATGCTCCTCAAACGAACCCTCCTCATCCCTCCCCCTAACCTTCTTCAAGTTATCACTCACTCTCATCAACCCCAAAGCTGAATCCAGTTACGCCACACATATCATCCCAATCCAATCCAACCCTCGTGCTCGCGTTCACGGATTTTTTTGAGATTTTGATCCCAGATTTTTTTTAAAAAAAAAAATCGAAGTCACCGCCACGATTTCCATGTCGAAATTTCTTTTTCTGTTGTAGTGGAAGTTTCCACAATGTACAGGCTCAAGGAGTGTAGTATGCTTGACTGTCGATAGCAGAACTCGACGGAGATCTGGTGTAGAGATATATATGGTGGTGGCCGTAGAAGGAAGTGAATGCCTCCAACAAACGAGGACAGCAGCAGCCGTCGGACTTCGGCGAAACCTTGTTCCGCACCTTCTTGTCAATCTCCCTTGTCATCTCATCCTCAATCACTTTCTGTAGACAACCTACAGGCCTCACATCGAATGAATCAGAGTCAGTTCAGCGGCATGTACGAAGCCAGTATCGGACTGGACGAGGCCTGTTTGGAACGAACTTCCCATACCCACACCGAGGCACAGAAATATGATCTAAAAATCTGGTGGAATGGCCCCAGAGTTCTCCATTGCATGTATAACGGCTTCAACCCGTTCAGCATGATACATAGGGACGGTCACTTGCCGACCCAAGTGCATAGATGAGGCTTTCGAATACTGCTCCACCTTCGGAACGCTCAGAACTCATCAACGACAAAAGAAGAAAGTCTCAAAACGAAATTGAAAAGGCAACAGCAGCTATCAATTCAAAAGGACTCGTTTTCAGCACCACGAATCTCCACTCAGCACATTGTAGACAACAGATTCTATAATTTCCTCAACTTCAATTTAACAACGAATCGCAAAAAAAAAAATCATTACTCTCCTTGTTAACATATGTCATCCTTAGTGCAGGGAGCATGCTGATCTTCTCTGTTTCAATTCAAATTGACCAGATGCCCGAAGGACATGAAAGAGCGAATGTCACTCGTTCATTGCCCTCGGGCGGAATATTGAAGTTCTTGGACGTATATATTAGTGGAGTCACAGGTCTGCATGACTCGCGTGCATTACCGTACGTGGAAGTGGGATGTCCTGAGGCTAGATTTTGATTTACGGACACTAGCTTTATATGTTACTTCTTGAATCTTTGGAAAGTTGGCTTCTGTTTTCATGTCTGATAATATTGCTTCGAGAGTTTTGGGAATAAGGTGATGTGAAGCGTTAGTGAGTTCTTGGCTGAATCAGAGACAATGGAGCAACCTTGTAGTTGGCAAGATATGCGCATCAGTATAGTAAGATGCCTTTTGGAATCCCAATGGCCTGTGAGACGACGGGTCTGCGCCAGATCATGGAGTATCTGGAGAAATGTCGAGAGAGAGAGACGCAGGACACGTACTGAACCAACAGTTGCCAGGGAGACCTAGCGAGACGGCGTTAATCGAAGTTGAATGAATGCCAGACCGGGAAATCGCAGCATCGATGGTTGTAGCTAGGTAAGGGAGAGGTCATGGAAGATGGGGTCCAACCAGATTGCAAGAAAAGGTAAAAGGTGGTATGCGCTAGACGCTCGCAATTGCCAGAGCCACTTCATTCGTTTGAAGGATATCAAAGCCTTCGTTCGCGTCTTGCCGTGGAGAGGTAGAAGCCAGAGTCAAGTTAATTAGCGACCAAAGCCCAGTCCGAAGTGTCGCTTGTCTCAAATACATCCGTTCCAGATGGGCAGTCCTCCTTCAGAGGCCCAGCACCTGTCCCAGCCTAAAGTCGCTTCCCATTCTGGTTGGCCGACACCACGGTTGGATCAGTGTCGGCGGATGCTTCACCCTTCATAGCAGCTTGTTCTTCCCTCTTGCGCCTGTGCTCCTCTACATCTGCCTTCACGCGACGTTCCAGGTCATCGATAAGCTCCTTCTTATGAACCATTGCTGCACCTGCAGCCCAATTGCCAGCCTCGGTTTTATTGCGACCCTTGCCAGTAGCGAGATACTCTCTCTCGTAACCATAATTTGGCGCGACCACATAAAGTTCTTGCGTCCATTCATTCTGGCCCAGTTTATTACCCTTCAGCTCGACCATCTCAGTGTTCTTATAATCCAACTTGACATGCTGTGCTGAACGCTGAATTCGCTGCTGCAGTATGGCCTTCGCGTTCTCGTCGTACGGTGGCATGGCACCTGCCTCATTTGCAGGCGAAGAAGAAGACTTTGGAGCAGCAGAGGTCTGCATTCGTGAGGCGTACACTTTGTTGGACTGCATGAGCGTCTCGATGCGTGGCGTCCACAGCTCTCTCAACCAAGCCTCAGCAATGTCCTCACCAGTCCGCTTATTTTCGTTTGATAAAATGATTGCTGCGATGTATGCCTCGAAGACATCAGCAATGACCTTGGTCCAGCCCTTGTTGCCTTTCCCATGACTGTCCTTTTGCATGCTCTTCTTGTCGTTGGCCTTAATCTTCTTCTCGAGACCATACTCTTTGCTATATTGCGCGAGCGTCTCGTTCTTGACGAGCTGCTCGCGAAGCTGGCTCATCTCGCCGACTTGAAGCTGCGGATACTTTTCGAAGATCAGGTCCGTGGCAAACTTCTCGATATTGGCATCTCCTAGAAATTCGAGTCGGTCATATGTCATTTGTGAAGAGTTGGTTGTAGTAGATTTGTGGCGGAAGGGTGCTTCAGCCCAGGCAGCGGGGAGCTCAGGACGCGGCGGCAGAGGCTTCGGGAGGTACAGGTCCTACAGCATTGTTAGTACGCCCATTTGAAGATGCACTCACTACACAGCGGACATGACTCTGGCGAGCGTGACAATCATCGAGAAGCAGAATCAAGTCTTCCGTGCAAACTTACATGAGGCGGTGATTCCTGCTTCGCGTACGAGTCCTTGACGCCATAGCTCGGTGGTTCGCGCCTGGTGTCCCGTACATCATCGTATGGGTCGCTTCTGCCTCTGTGATCGTCGTAATGGTCGCGCCTCGAGTATGAGTAGTCGTTGCGCTGGCGCTTCACTGGCGGAGCACTGCCGCCGTTGTAATGTCTCTTGCTCATAGCGGTGCAGCTCTCCTCGGCACTGTGTACACTGTATGATGCTGTGGGGTATGAATTTGTAGTAGCACCTAGCGACAGTGAGGAGATGAGCAGCTGTTTTGTGTTTGTGTGTGTGTGTGTGTGTGTGTGTGTGTGTGGTCAGAAGAAATTGAAGCTGGCAGAACGCCTTCTTCAAGCTGCGACGCTCGGACCCTTTTCTTGGCACTTCCGGCGCCGATGACATTGGACTCGATCTCGTGAATACTTCAGTGAATGTCTATCACATGCAACAATCATGACAGTTCCACGAGCGCGAGTACTAGACCTGCTACGGGCGCAATGCCGAATATTCAACACCACCTTCAACCCTCAGAACTTGCGACTCGGAAACAAAGTTCTGCGGCAACGATTACGAGGACCTTCGTTCGCCGCATACTATCCACGACGAGTAGCCACATTCAAGGATCTCAAGACTCTATATCCATTGAGAAAGATTGAGATGTACGATGACTTCGAGGAGGACCGATTAGAGCACCTGCAAATCGCGAAGAGTAGAGGCAAGGGAGCACCGAAGAAGAAGAAGAGCGCGGCGGGTAAGTTTTTGAATTGGACCATCGGTCTTGCGTAGGTGCTGATGAGTTTACAGAAAGCAGAAAGGGACAGAAGAAGAAGCGGTAGTGAGACTGGCCGATTGAAGGAACTGCGATGATAGAATTGGAACAGTGTATATGAGCTGGGCAATGGGCGGGCTTGACCAGCAATTAAAAAGCGCATTACGAGGGACGGCGTTCGAAAATTTGCGCTTCGATATGTACAGGTGCATGGAATGGCGTTACCCAGTCGAACTGAAAGAGGAATGCGTAAATGTTGGAGCGGAAAGCTTTGCTTGAAATATACCTCACTGATTCTTGATTTGCAATCGGCATTACCATACATGCTGAAGTCAACATCGGAGACAGGCACAGAGACTTTGCGGCATGGTAATTATGAGACTGCTCGAACGCTGTGACGTCTGGATGCGCGGGAGTGATTGGTGAGTACAAAGATTCTTCGAAACAAGACATTTGCTGACGCTCTTCCGTAAACCTGCTCTCAATGTTCCATCGTAGCAAGTCTCCTTTCGACCCATCACTCCTGTGCTCCATCGCCTCCCTGTCTCTGATACCTGATCTCCAGCACGCCCTCATCGCAGACCGACGCCATCTCCACGGCTATCTTCTTTGGAGACCACTCTCTCGTTCATCTTTCGTGTTAGCCATCCGAATGCGCACAAAGTCGATGACTTTCTTCAGACCTTCCAGTGTCAGGTATGGGTCACTTCCGCATGGTTGCAAGTGACTTTGCACAAATGCTTCGGCAGCAGCATCTACGGCCTCGGAATTTTCGATCGGGTCTCCATACCAATCAAGGTATCGGACGGTCACCTGCTTCTCTGACTTGTTTCCGTGGAGCACGATCTTACAGCAGAACGGATCGTACCAGATGCAGATCTTTCGTGTGAGGGGGACTCGTGAGCGACCGAAAATATCGAGCCAACGCATCGTGGAGTCTGGTTTGACGTAGCTATCGAAAAGCCACAGGTCAAGGTCTCGATGAAGTCTTGGCAGGTATTCTTGTCGAGTCTGCTGGCATACCTCCGCGAATGTGGCTGGCGGTGCCCGGTATTTCTGGTAGTACGCTTTCAGCACTTGTTTCGGTGCATCGTGCTCAGCGATCTCATCATAGATCTGGTTGCGCAACTCTGCTGGTAAGTCGAAGAATGTGACGCGGTATCGGGTGTTTCGCGCTGATGTAGCAAAAGATCCGCTCGTCGACAGTGCACCACCCTGGACGAGGTTGCCGGGTTGGGCAGGCATGATATTGTGGTTGACGGGGCTAGCCATTGCCCGCGAGAGGACTGCAGGTGGAAAGAACCTTGGAAAGTCAGAACCTTTGGAAATTTCATGGTCGCGCGCACTGACCAACGCAAGGTCATGGCTGCCGAGCATCACATGCGAAAACGGTAAAGACCGAAGCATGTGAAGCATCATCTTCACTTCCAGGAACTCACTACACACCTTGATTGGGAATGAGAAATCGGCCCTTCCTGATGACAGTTTCACTTGGCAAGATCGAGCTCTATGCATCTCCGTCATGTCACCTAAGCAGTCGACAGAAACTTTCGGACGCGATTAGCGAAAGGCACTCACTTTCTCGTTCTTCACAAATCATCGCTGACTTCCTCGGAGCGGCCTTCAATGTTGCGAAATTCTGACAAATGGTAGCATCATTGCTGTGCAAGCCCATTTGCTAATGGATCCGATACTGTAAACGAATTTGGGTCTCAGTAAGCAACCCGACAATCTCCAGATCGCCTTCAAGCAGCATGTGTTCGACGGCTTGCAAGAAAAACTGCCTATATGCCAGGTCTCATTAGCCTATTGACCCCGCTACTCAGAATCAAGCATGTTTGATCTCATTGGAGCTTCGGCATATGGTCCACCTAGACTGCGAGCTACTTTGATGTTCTCCTGCTGCCCTTCTGGACATCCGGACATTGTAAGCTTTCCACGAGAGCAACAGACAGCAGTATCACTCATCCGTGGCCGACCATTGAAGCACGCGAACCCCGTTTGTGACGAACTCTCCAGGAGTCCAATTTGGCATTCATAACCTCGGACGCCAGAACAATATTGCCTGCATCAACCTCCCCCGACGGGGCTGGGGCTTGGTATCTGTTATCTCTCAGGATGTTCGAGGATATTTTTGTGCAGTTTGGCCCTGGCTACAGCAGCGTTGAGCTTAACAATGCTCCCCTCATTATCAGCAGTCATGAGCCGTTAGGAATAAAATCTGCCGTGCACAATCTGGCACTCGACTTTGGACGTGTTCTGACAAAACGCCTAAAGCAGACGGTCGTGGAAGCAGATACCGATTTGCCAAAATTAGAAGTCGACACAGCTATCATCATCGGCTGCCTCGAGTCCAGTCATCTGGTCCAAGATATGGTTAGCAAGGGCAAGCTTGATGTCGAAAGCATATCCGGGAGATGGGAGTCATTCTGTACCAGCGTCGTTGCCAAGCCTTTTGAGGGCATCGCAAAAGCCCTTGTCATTGTTGGAAGCGACAAGCGTGGAACGATCTATGGAGCCTACACCCTATCTGAGCAGATTGGCGTATCACCGTGTGTCTCAATTGTCATTGCAACCCACGCGTAAGAGCATGCTGATCAATTGCAGTTGGTATTGGTGGGCAGACGTGCCGCCTAAGCAGCACTCGGCGATATATGCAATTGACAAATCTACGTGCCATGGAGAGCCAAGCATCAAATACAGAGGCATATTCTTGAACGACGAGGCTCCTGTTCTCACGGGTTGGGTGTTGGAGAAGTTTGGAAAGTACAATTCTCAGTTCTACGAGAAAGTATTTGAGCTTATCCTCAGACTGAAGGTACACCGTCCCTTCATCAATTCCAACAAGCCTGCATGTACTGATTCGAACAGGCCAACTTCCTCTGGCCCGCAATGTGGCCCGGCTACCCCAATCCAGGTGCATCATTCTTCACCGACGATTCGAGAAACCAGGCATTGGCGGACGAGCTTGGCATAGTCATTTCGACATCTCACCATGAACCAATGCAACGACTATCCAACGAATGGTTCGCCGAGAACCCAGATGGTAGCTGGAATTGGCTGACAAACAAAGATCGTATCACTGACTTCTTCCGAGAAGGAGTTCAAAGAGCAGCGGGAAAAGAGTCCTACTTCACTCTAGGCATGCGAGGTGAGTACGACAAAAAATGGCAGGCGAAGATCCTGCTGCTGTCGTTCGAGATGTGATTCAAACGCAGCGGCAACTTTTCAAGGAGGAACACGGTGCGGAAGATGCAGTCCCACAGGTTCTGGCCTGCTACAAAGAAGTTCAGACTATGTACGAAAGTGGTAAGTTGGAAGTTCCTGACCATGTCACCCTACTTTTTGGAGACGACAATTTCGGTACGATACGAAGACTGCCATCGGTAGCTGAAAGGAAACGACGAGATGGTGCAGGCATATACTATCATCTTGAATATGTTGGGTGGCCGAGATCGTATAAGTGGATCAACAGCAATTCGCTGGGCAAAATCAAGCATCAACTCATGCAGGCCTACCATCGCCAAGCCAGACAGATCTGGGTCTTCAACGTTGGAGATCTGAAGCCAGTTGAGTGTCCGCTCTCTTTCGCCA